AGAGCTTTTAAAGATAATATTATATCCCTTCTACTTAGTTTATTATACTATAGTTCTAGTAATATAGTAGGCTATTATTTTTTCCTAGTTAGCTTAAGTAATATAAGTTATATTCTTTATTATAATATAAGGTATTATTAGGGTATTTCTATTCTTATTTTAATTTATCTTAATATTCTATAGTAAGTTAGTTATCTTTTATATTTTCTTATTTAAGATATTATAACTTATAGGGTTTTAAGGTAATTCCTTTATTAAGGTTCCCTTTTTTATTTTATTTCTATTCTTAGATTAGGCATTTATTATTAAGTTTTTCTGCTATATAGGTATTTTCATTCTAATAGTTAATTTTCCTCTTATTCTTAATATATTCAAAGGCATAGTATTTAATACTTTAATCTGATTTTAAATATATTACCTTATTATTAGTTTATTTATAGTTATAATATCTAATAGTATTAATAAGTTTATATACTTTCTAGTATATATATTTGCTTACTAATACTAGGAAGCAATTATAAATAATCTTATTTTCCTTATAGATTATATAACAATATACTATATAGGATATTAAAAAGATTTTAATATAGTTTAGGTCTGCAGGGTATTTATATAATTCTATTATTACTATTAGTTATTCTATAAGAATTTTACTGCTATTAGCTTCTTTTTATATTACTGCTTAAATATAGATATTATTATCTTATTTTATTTTTATAACTTCTTATATTAATTCTTAATGCATTTATTATTTATTATCTTAGTATTAAGCTCCTTCTTAAATATATTAAGGTTTAATATCTTTAAACTTATAGGTAATTAATTTAAGTATTCTTCTTAGTTTCTTTTAATTCTTTTGATAGGTTCTAGAATTACTATTTTTTATTATTTATCTTATATTAATAATATTAAGGTCTATATAGTATTTACTAGGCTATTTTTATTTGCTATTAATAGAGATTTCACTATAAAGTTAATTAAGTATAAGTAATTTATCTTGTTTAAGGATAACGTTTTCTTCCTTAAGTATTATTATAATTATTTTACTATTATTAGTAAAAGGTATTAATTCTAGTATAGGTTATTACTATCTCTAGTATTATTTTTCTCTTTTAAGTTTATTATTATATTTATAATACTTAGAGCTTTGTTATACTAATTACTTTTTTTTGGTAATTAAGTCTTTATTTCTTTAATAATAATCCTAGTTTTATTATTTCTTTCTTTAGTCTTATTCCTTAATTTTTTTTTTATCCTTCTCTTACTCTTATTAGTCTTTTAGCTACTCTTAGGCTTTTACCTAGTTTACTAGGCTATTATATAACGCTATATTATATCCTAAGTAAATTATAGTAATTCTTCTAGCGATTTATATTACTATCTGCAGTTCTTCTTCCTGCAAGTTAATTTATTAAATATTCTTACTTTTCGGTACTAGTCTATATTTTTAATTAGCTCTTATAGGGTTATAGCAAGTAGCTTCCCTATAGCCGTTTTTTATTATAATTCTAGTATACTAAGGGTAATTTATTTAGCCTTATAGTTCTAATAATTATTAGTTTAGCTCAAGTATTATAGGAAATATTTATTTATTATAGTATTTGTTAATTAATATTATTTTACTTTATTAGTTTTTATTCTAATTAAGTTAATATAAGTTTTTATTTCTAATTATTTTTTATCTTCTTTTATTTATATTACTATATACTAATATCTACTATAATATTAATAAGATTTTTTAATATTTTTAGCTTAAATCTAATATTAACTAATATATCCTCAATTTTATCTTTCAAGCCTAAATATATTTAATCTATATAGGCTTATTTATTTTAACTAAGTTTAAATACCTAATAGTAATACTCTAATAGGTATATTATTATAGATTTTATTTATTATAGGCTTTAAATCTTATTCTTTTATTCTTTATTTTTTATTTATTAGTTTAAATATAAAAATAAGTTTTTATTTAATATTCTTATATTTATTATAAATTAGTCTAGATATATCTTTTTATTTATATCTAGGATTATTAATATAATCTTAAATAATTAATTTTATAAGCCTTTATATTCTACCTCTAAGGAGGCTTATAATATACTAAGATTTTATTTTATTTTATTTTATTTTATTTTATTTTATTTTATTTTATTTTATTTTATTTTATTTTATTTTATTTTATTTTATTTTATTTTATTTTATTTATATTAAGTTAAATAAAATAATATAATTAATAACTACAGAGCTATAAGAAATCTTTAAAGATATTTCATATTTCTATTATAGGAGTTATATTACCTAGGTTATAGGATTTCTCTAGGGTTTTTTCCTATTATAATAAGGGTAATAGTATATATAATATACTCCTTATATAGGCATTAGGTTTTTTCTGCTTTTTTATTAAATCCTTTAGTAATATTAATAAGATTTTTAACTTATTCTTTAAGCCTTTTAATTTTACCCTAGGATATAATAGTATTATATTTAACGCTATTAAGAAATTTATTATATTATTCTCCTAGGTATTTAAGTCTTTATTTAAGTTTTTTAATCTTATTTTTATAACTTATTAAATAAATAAGTAAAGTAATAATCTTTCCTTTTTTATTATTACTTATACTTATAAGTATATTTAAAAGTTCCTAGGATAAAGGCTAAGGAGTTTTAGCAATTAATAGCTATTTAGTCTTATTACTTTAAATTGCCTTAATATTACTAAGTGCTATTATATAAGTATTACTTAATATTAATATAATATAATCTAAATAAGAGCTATTAATATATAATAATTAGGATTCCTAAGGAATAAACTAGTCTATATTAAGTTTATATTAGTAAATATATAGGGTATCATAATACTAAGTATAGTATAGTATTATATCTCTTAATAGTAAATAAAGCAGGTAAGGCATATTTAAGTAAAAATATTTTAGTATTAGTTAATATACTTAGCTTAATAGCTATTAATAAGTAAAAATATATATATATAAAGGTTTACTTATAGAGTAGTAAGCCTTAGGAAAAGGCTTATAATATCAGCGGTACGCTATAGGGTAGGTTATATATATATATCAGTGAGCTTAGTGAGGCTCACTCTGGTGTAGGTAAGCTTAGTGTTAGTTAGAGGAAAATTATAGGGTATATATGACATAACCGCTGGGATTGTAACATAAGCAGTAATCTTAATAGTAGTCTTAACAGTGAAAATAATAGGTAATAAAGTCTTTGAGAAATTCTTAAGCCTAGCCTGCCTAAACCCTTTAATAGAACCTTTAGTAAGCTGCCTATATTCTTAATATAAAGCTAAGGTTTCTCTTATTATTAGCTTTAGTAGCCAGATTATATATATACTACTAGGTTTAAGCCGTAGTATTATTTTATTATTGCTATATATTTAATATTATACTTAGTATCTAGCGTAATTTATTTATTTTATTAGTAATATTCCTAAGCTACTTATAGAATTATGTAATCTTTATGTCCTTAAAGCTTTAGGATAAGTTATTTATTTTATTTATATTCTAATTAATTATAAGAGTAATATGAATTAAAGTTAGCTATTTAATATTAATAATAGTATTTTACTAGGTTTAATTAATATTTATAGATATTATAAAGTTAATATTACTTGGTATTTCTATAGTATTATTTAACTAAGAGCTATTAATATATAATAATTAGGTTATCTAATGGATAAATTAATCTATTTTAAGTTTATATTAATATAATAGTAAAATACTTTATAAGTATAGTAAAGTATTATAACTCTTAATAGTAAATAGAGTGAATTAAGTATATTTAAGTAATAACATTTTATTAATAGCTATTAAGCTAAATATATTAATTAATATTAAGTAAATATATATATACTTATAAAGGCTTATAGTTAAGTATTAAGCTTATAGTATAAGTTAAGGCTTATATCGTAAATCGCATTATAAGCTATAAGTCATAGAGTCTATCGGCTTATAGTCTAACTAAGTTGGTATAGGTAGTTAATATAATAATTAGTAAGATATAGTAGGGTCTATATAATAGTAAATAAAGTATTATAACCCAATAGATGATTAAGAGATATAATACGTCACAATACTTAGTGTTATAATACCCTATATATCTGCCAATATAAACCTAGTATAGACTAGTTTATCCCTCAGGAACCACAACTGTTACACTTATACTAAGGATACTTTACTATATATAACCCTCTATAGCGTTATTTTAACCTACTATACTTACTTTTAATCTACAGAACTAGCAGTTATATAGGGCTTGTATAGCTAGCTATATTCAAGGCCTAGTTATATCTTCGACTGTCTCCATGTATTATATCGTTCAGCCTCTTTCAAACTTACACCAAGAGCGAAAATAAAGAGAAGGCCGGTTTTGCCCAAGCGTAAGGTGGCTGCATTTGCCTTATTTTTCAGGGTCTATACTATCTAGATAGATAGTAAGTTATACCAGGAAGATGGCGGCTATGGCGACGTGGGTAGATAGATCATGTATGTTATCTCTTCAGAATTAACTTAGCCAGGGCCGAGCTCAATCGACGTGCATGGCAACAGACCTTATGGACGATTCTATTAATAAATACCACACTAAAGCGAGGGTCGCTTTGACTGTCCTAATAAACATCAAACTAAGGTGAAGACCGCTCAGACCTTCTTAAAAACATCCAGGTCGAAACCCATTTAGGGCTGGTATTTACTTATATCTGCTTGGTGCCTGCTCTGTAAGTATATCGATATCACCTAGCGATTCACAGGTAGCAGCGAAACCGACTGCCAAAACCCCAACTACAAAGTTATATCAATACCATCAGCCCCTCAACTTGCGAGACTGGAAGTTCTCTCAACTGCAGCCCATACACACGACCCAATAATTCGAACATAGGGAGAAAGCGGCCTGATTCTAATCAAGTCAAGCGTCAATAGAAGGCATACAAGAATCGCAGAATCCACCCCTAGATAACATAAACTGGGTTGGGGATTGTCCCAATCATGAGAGCACCTCCTTTGGACGTGGTTCTTAGTTGGCCTCCACCCGACTACGATGCACCATTCAAAAACGCCCCAGCAGGGATTTCTATTTCTGTCTTCTTAATGGTCATTGTCACTGCCATTTTGGGGATCCGGATATATACAAGAAAGTACATCACTAGAGGATTCGGCCCAGATGATATTCTCATCATTTTCGCCTACATTCCCTGTCTGGGTTTCTCAATCAGTGGTATGATTGCCCAAGTGTATTATGGCTGGGGAAAAGACTTATGGAATGTTCGCCCTGCGATATATAAGTCTGCTCTTCAGTCTGCTTTCGGTGCATACACTCTTTTCGGCACCGCGACAACTCTCATCAAGCTGTCCATGCTTGCCATGACATATCGCCTCGCATGTACTGCGTCGAAAACCTTTAAACGCATCGTTGTCGGCTGCATGATCCTGGTTGGCGCTAATGGCATCTGCTTCCTCCTTGTCACTTGGCTGCAGTGTCGGTAGGTCATCATGAACAGTTTGCCATCATCAACGAAACCCATGGGCTAATCGAGAAGGACAGACCTTTACACCTGTACTGGACCATCTCTCACGAGAAGCAAAACTGTATAGACGAGCCCGCCCACCTTCTGGCTGCTGGCACCATCAACACTGTAACAGATCTTCTCGTCGTTATCCTGCCGCTGGTCATCTTCATTAAGCTGCAGGGCCCGAACAGCATGCTGTCAAGGCGGCAAGTTTTCATCGTCAATATTCTATTCGCCGCAGGCTTCTTTGCCACCATCGCGGGTGCTGTCCGTACTTACGTGACCTGGCGCATGACCTCAGCTCCCGATTTTAACATCACCCATTGGTTCTGGCTTACATGGCTTTCTTCCATGATCGAAATCTACGTTGGTATCATCGCTGCCAGCGTGCCTGCAACGAAGCCTTTCATGGCGCAATATGTACCTATGCTTCTCGGGGCCACTAAGTTCACAAACAGCCCTACTTGCGTGTCGCGTACTGATCGCTATGCCTTGCCTGCCAGCCTCTCTCACACGAAGAACGGTTACGTCCGTGATGATTCCTACGACCTGCCTTTTTACGAATCAATATCGACAGTCAGTAAAGTGGGACCAACAATATACAACTCCCCAACCACTGATTCCCTATCGGCGCCAAATGGGTTGGAAGAAGGGTCTAAATTTGATGAACATACATATAGCTATAAGAGTTACGCCGCTATAGAGAGTCTAACGTATCCCCAGAGGATGAAGTTTTATTAGGCTAATTCTAATTACTATAGAATATAGGGGTTTCGAGTCAACAAGTTAATATGATCAATTTGGTGGTTGTTTACGATTTTTAAAGTCCATTGCTGACTTTACCTATCATGAATCTTAACTCAAGAGCGACGGATGAAGTTCGAAGAAGCAACTTTATTCACATACATATAAAGCGCTACCTGCTCAGCAAGTCGCTACCACTTCTTCCTTCAACACAACAGAAGAGGAGACGACTCTTCAATCAACGATTGAGCTTCTACAATTAGAAATAATGTCTTTCCCAATCATACACATCAATGGCTATCCAGGCACTGGCAAGCTCACCATCGCGCGAAAGCTCGTCGACCTTCTATTGCCTTACAACGGGAAACTTGTTCATAACCATCTTCTCATCGACCCAGTAGGTGCTATCCTACCACGTTCCAGCCCAGACTATCAGCATGTACGCCGTGCACTCCGATCTGTCATCTTTGTCGTGACATCGGACACTGCCAACGCATCAGAGTCCGTCTTTGTCTTTACCGACTTCCAGTCTGATGATAATATTGGCCGTAGCGTCATCGCCGAGTATCGCGACATGGTCGCCCGTCGACGCTGCATTTTTGTTCCCATCACTGTTACCTGCAGTAAAGATGAAAATCTACGTCGACTGTCCTCTTCCGAACGGATTGTTCATGGGAAACTTGCAGATACCGAAATGGTGACACACCTGCGGGATCACTCCTTGATACACCAATGGTCAAAAGATGATCCCCTCCACATGGAACTTGACATTACGGAACTGAAAACCAACGAATCCGCTCGTGTCATATTTGAACATGTGTTAAGGGTTTGCAAGGAGCTGGACCGCTCGTGATACCATGGAGGTCATCGATACTCTTCTCTTGATTTATACGAGCTTTCAAAACAAATGGCGGATATTATCCCAAGGCGTAATATTACTTTGATAAACTCAAATACTTTTTTTGCTTTCATTTGTGGACTTAACCCTAGCTAGACATCAAGTCTATCTCTTTGCTATTCTTTATCTAACCGCCACCCTGCTCGCGGTAGTAGTAATTCTTGTGATTGTTGAGCTTCTTTCCATATACCAAGTCCTTCTGCTTAGTGTGGACCTGCTCCAACGTCCGTCCTCGTTCTTCTGCCCTGCGAGCACGTCGCTTCTGTTGCTCTGGTGCACCTGCCATGCCCGCCATTCCACGAGGCACCATCTCACGGGCCTTGGAACCTCTTTGGACAAGTTGGCCATCCGAGCCACTGCCAGCCCGCTCCTCTGAGCCCTCAATAGCCAGACGCTCGGCTCGCTCTTCAGCAGATGGATGGTTATGCAGGTTCTGGCGGAAATATTTGTTCAGCGATCGATGGCCAACAGACTTTCCTGTAGGAAGGTGAAGTTCGTAGTCATCATAGAAGACAGCACGGGTTGGCTTATGCGCATGCGAATGCCAACCGTCGGCTTGGTGCCTCTGCCTTGGGTCTTGTGATGAATGATGCGGGTGCTTGTCGAGTCGCTCAAACTGGTGGATATGGCCTTCAGCAGGGACAGCAGTGAGATCGGCTGAATCAAGAGACGAAGCTGAACTATCCGTTTCCCAACCGTCGGCGCCTTCGACGTCCTCGACATCTTCTCCATCTTCTCCCGTAACCTTAGCAGGGCGGCGTGCCCCAAGTTTGGCTCCCCCACTGGTCTCGTCCACGACAGATTCCTCGTCACTCATATCACCGCCATCAGAGTAGGTGCTTCTGAAGTCGTAGAAATCTCCAATGTCGAGCTGCTCTCGCTCGGTCTCGTAAGGGATCTTGCAATGGCCCGTGTCGCGCATGTGTGTTTGAACCGCGAATGTGGTAGACTTCGGTTTATCGCAATACAGACATTGATGGTGTGATCGGATCTTGTCCTGCAGTTGTTGAAGCAAGCCATCAATGTCCACAAGATACTTCTTCTCGGGAATGAACATGCCATGGAACCTCTCCATATGGTGTGTATTCAGAGGGATGGTTGGGGAAGCATAGTTGCAGAATAAGCAAGTCTCTAGTGTCATGTTGGGTTCTTGCGATGGAGGGACAGGAGTGGTTGAGTCTGAAGCGCGTGTTGCATCTGCGTCTTCGCCGACAGTATCCTCGCCTGATGGTTGGGGATGCGAAGGGCGCTTGAGAGGAGAAGGCCTTTGCTCGGAAATGCGGGCCTTTTGGAGACCCTCGACGACATGACTGAATTCCTCCTCAGCATCGGAGTCAACTTCACCTTGACTGGGCGCGACGGGTTCACCAAGAGAGAACGTGGAGCTCACGACAGAAGTGGTCTCATCGTCGGCTCGGCCGGGAGCAGGTTGTCCACTGACAGCTGCCTTTGCCTTGTGCTTCTGGCTCAAAATATGGTTCTGAAACGCATTCTCGCTATAATACGTCTTCTCGCAGATATCGCATGCACGCTCAAAGTAGGCCTTGTCGGCTTCTGCACTTGATACAGCCCTCGCCTGCAGGACCTTTTCAGAAAAGACGTCGGCGGAGATGGGTGGTAAAGACGCCACTCGTCTTTTCAGGTTGTATCGACTTTTGGAACGATTAGTATTGCTACCTGTAAGAATGCGCAGATATATGGACTTACTGCCAATCACTCTTCATATGTCCCTTTTGCAGATCAATGTTGCGGTACGCAACTTGGCAGGTATTGCAGGTATATGGGTGCGAGGCCGCCCCAGATGCCTGCACGCTCGCCATGGTTTTGGATAGAAGCGACGGCGGCTTTTGTGTAGATTCTGATCCTGCTTGGGAGTATCGATTTGAGTATGTCGAATGCGATTATTTGTTGGACAGAGGTTGTGAATGTGAAGGAAATTTGCCCGTCTGAATTGGTGGGATGGCGGGGCTGCATAGATAACGTCACACAGAAAAGGTTATCAGTGAGTTGCATGAATGACTTTTTTTTTTGCCCCAAACCCCGCCACGCAAGGGTTCCAGGCCCCGTCCTCAGGGTATCAGAAAAAATGACTGCTGGAAGCATAGGAGACGAAATTAGTAGGTCACTTTATGCCCCTTATAGTATAGTTCTTTAGACTACTTATTTTTATATCCTAAACTTGGGGAGCCATTTTTTCTGCCACCCACTAGCCCGTCAGTTGAGCAGCTGAGTCACAAGTAAATGTTTGGCTCGCTTGACCCGCTAGTGGTCGGGCTGCACCGATGCTTGCTTGTCTCCAACAACTAAGCTTTATTAGGCAAGAAGCCTTGTGCAAAACTTAGCTCGGGTACTTACATGTGCTCCCTGTTGGCTCCAGAAGGTACCTGCCCACTCAAGTGCCTGAGGTAGTGGCGCATCATCATAACGAGGCTGACCAACAGGTCCCTAAACATCAACTCCTCTCCGTGTTGCAGATACACGACTCCAGTGTCAAGAACACCCAATATTTACAGTTGAAATTAGCACAGATCATCTAGTCTCCCTATACCACATCGCCATATAGCGTTCCGCTATTGACGAGATACTCTCTCTCAACACCGTTCTTCACTGTACATCATCGTTAACGAAATATCAAAGTGCCCATCGCGGCGCGACCCATTCTGCCAATGTCATGACGCCCGATGCCTATCGTCCACGAGATTCATCCATCGAGTTCGCTGCAGATATAGATCTTCTTGCCGGTCTTTGGCAAGAAGCGCCGTTCGCTCGCTTACCGTCTGACGCACCGCCTGAAGTCAAAGCCGCTGTGCAGAACGTCGAGAACCCGGCGCGCGTTTATGCAATCCACCAAGCCAGCCGCCGCCATGGGTTCCAGCTTCTTGTTGAGAGGTCTGTCCAGCCATTCTATCAACATTTCAGTGTTTCTCTCGAGGCACTCCAAGCGCTAACCTCCAGTTAGATACATTCATCAACTGCGATCTGGCTGTGATAACGTGAACTGTGCAACCCCTACATGTTTTACCTGTCGCCGCCGTTTAGCTGGCAAGGCACCCGTCCGAAAATACAACACGACAAGTGCGAGGACATTAGCTATATATTTGGCGAGTCAAGACGATCCCGAGAAAGACCTATGCTCGTTCCTTCGCAAAAGTCCAGAGCCATCAGCGGCGCTCAACAACCTTATATTTTCAGCGCGATCCCCCACACAACCACACCCCGATGACAAGAGAACAAACGCTATCACGTCACCAGGCGCGCGGAAGAATCGAGTCTCTAGGCCACGCCTATCCTCTTCATCATCTCAGGACTCCATTCCTACAGCCAGACATGCGCCGCATTCGAGCGGCGGTTCAACTTCCCATGTTCAAGTAATGGAGGGGCCTGTGAACAAAGACCATCGCTCCTTCGCTGCAAACCTTTTCGGGACTGTAACTTTCAAAATGCTTGAATGGTTGACACCTAAAAGCATGGCGGCCATGTCAGACAAGCTCGGCAACTTTGAAGTCTCTGACTTGAAGACACCAATGATGGACCTGGATACGTTGCAGGAGTCGTCCAGTTTGACGAGCACGAGCACTGATTTGGAAACTCAAAAGATACTGCCGCACAAACCGAATGCGCCGAAGCCAACAAATATGCCTAATCAGTCACAAGACATTGATTGGGACGAGTGTCCCTTTCCTACAATGTCCCCTAAAAGTAGGCACGACTCGATACATAAGTCGCAAAATAATGCATCGGCCAAAACCCGCAAACACTCGATTGATACAAGCGACCCCGTGAAAGGGGAGGACGGTACCAAGGCTGTCAAACTTCCTCAGATCAACGGCCATTTACGGGACAAATCATTACGAACCAAAAACAGTAAGCACGTGACTGTATCGACCATGTCGGCAATACCGACGAAACGAGAATACTTCGAGAGTACACCAAAACCTCCCAGTGACCCAACGCTGCCGAGTCTACCCCTGGCCTCACAGGCCAACGCGGCCGACCTGCATGATAATCAGAGTAAAGGTTGTGATGAGGAGGACATCGTTTCCCCAGAATCAAATCATAGCGAAGTAGAGTTCAAGGCTGTCCCACCCCAAAGCTGTGACAGCATTTTGCCTCAAGCTCTCACGAAGCTTGACGTCGATCTTGTCAACTTCATTTGCGATGTATATGAGGAAGACGATATGTCGGGATCATGTCACGTCTCAACGTACAAGACGAATTACCCGTATCCCCAACCTGTCGATGAGCGAAAGAGTCTGCGTCGCCATTCTATGCTGCATACCACCAGATCCAGGGAGCAGTGGTTACGTTTCAATGAGCAGGCACTTTTTTATGTTCTGACAGATCCACAATCTGTAGTGCTATCGTTTACACAGGAGCATAAGCTCTATGACTCGCAAACTTTATGGTACTGTTTCCATCGGTTGTGTCGCGTCACTTCGAATCTGGTCTTTCACAGTCTTTGGTTGGCTGCTGCACGTCTATTCATACCTCCACAGGACTTGAAGTCAAGCAGTTTCTCAAAGCGGATGAACGGGCGTAAACCTCAGAAAAGGGTAGAGGCTCTCCCTGATTTAGAAGCGGGCTATTTGATGTCCATTTGCATGCATGCACTTGTTGCTGCAACGCCAGTGGTGGGAGACTCTAGAACACTATACGAGTTGTCGCGAGTTCGTTCTAATGGACTAACACTAGCAGGCGGTAGCGCTATATCACGGCAACCGTCTTCTCGATGTTTGGATTATGACGATGCCTTTTCAAACGAGGTGGCTGCTAGGCTGGCACGTCGGCTGTTTTGCGCGATAACGGCCAGGCGTTGCTTCGCTGACAGAGCACACCCAGCTGGGCGATTGGAAGGCCTGAACGACTGCGATATTTTACAACCTTTGGTGAATCAACTCGACTTCCTCAGTACAGGTTCAGCATCAATACTCGAATTCCCACGGGACGAGCGTCTCCTGCACGAGACTCGCGTTCCCACTGTTCTCCTGGATTGGGCACGCACTGTACTGTTGAACGAATGGGACGGCCGGGCTCACTTCGTTATGGATGGACCTTTTGGAGGAGCATTATCATTCATCGAAACCCTGCGTATGTACCCAATGCGATAGATCAGTAAAACTTGACGTTGCTAACCTATTCAAGATCGGTCCAGGAACCTCTTACTATTGGGTGACGTTCAGTTCCGAGTTGACTACCTCTCAGAACGACTAGATTTCATCGAAATGCCTGTGGAATGGTTGTCTTTCAAATCAACACGATGGCGACGACATATACTCGATTACCCCTATATTTTCAGCCCTGAGACGTTAGTCTCCTTCTTCCGATCCATCAACTTTGCTCGGATGAGTCGCATGTTTGAAGAGTCGAGTTCACTTAAAACACGGATGAGTGCCATAGTCGACCCTGGAAGTCTCATTACCAATCCACATCATAAAATGGTTTTGCAAGATCTTCTGAGAACGGCGTCTTCGAAGTATCTGGTCTTGGAAGTAGGCAGAGAAAATGTCGCCAGAGACGCATTTGACCAACTTTGGAGGCGTGAAAGAAGAGAGCTTCTACGGCCACTCAAGGTCCATTTAGGGGAGAACAGTGGCGAGGAGGGATTTGACTCTGGAGGTGTCCAGCAAGAGTTTTTTCGTTTGGCCATCGCGGAATGTTTGGATCCTGGATTTGGGGCCTTCACCGTTGATGAAAGGACACGCATGGCTTGGTTCGCTCCAGGTTCATTGACCGAAGACTGGAAATACGAACTTGTCGGACTTTTGATGTCACTCGCGTTATACAACGGCTTGACACTACCGGTTACGTTTCCGAGGGCTCTTTATCGGAAGTTGCTGGGTAATCCTGTTGAAGAGCTTCATCACATCGCTGATGGGTGGCCAGATTTAGCGAGTGGGTTGACGACCTTGCTGGAGTGGGATGAAAAGAATGGTCTCATCGAAGATATCTTTGCCCGTACATATGAATTCTCGGTATCTTCATTGGGGACGATTGTTACGCGCGAGATGAGGGCGGATGGAAGTACGGTGTGGCCAAACGCAGCCTCCAGCTCAACAGATATCGAGCCACCACACATGAACAACTCTGATGACGCACCGCTTGTCAGTAACGACAACCGGGATGACTACGTCATAGACTACATCCGCTACCTAACGGACGCTTCTATTCGACGCCAGTATCTCGCTTTCGAGCGCGGATTTGCTTCGTGCTTGGACAAGAAGTCCTTGTCACTTCTATGTCCATCTACCTTGCAGTCGCTAGTCGAAGGAGTACAGGAAATCGACATCGGCGAACTCAAACGTTACGCTCGTTACGTAGGGTGGGATACTTCTCATCGTACCATCAAGGACTTTTGGTCTATTGTTAAGAGGTACGACGAGGGCATGAAGCAGAGACTACTTGAGTTCGTGACGTCGTCTGACCGCGTTCCCGTTGGTGGCATGAAGAACTTGCAGTTCGTCATACAAAAGAACGGCGAAGAAGACGGCACTGGTGGGCATTTGCCTACGGCCTATACTTGTTATGGAACATTACTTTTACCAGAATACAGAGATAAAGAGGTGTTAAGGGAGCGTCTTGGGATGGCATTACAAAATGCCCAGGGCTTTGGTTTCGCCTAATGATGCGTTTTGATGAGGGTTGAGCAACTCAAACCAGGTACCGTCGACTTGAAGCGAGCAGCGACTTGAGGTTCCCAATGTAATATAAGCCAAGCCCTTGTGTATTTTGTATAATAGCATAGCAAAAGAAGTAAGCGGCCAATATCGTCAGTATAGTAACTCGGAAGAAATGCGTTGTCTTGACATGCTGTGCTGTACAACACTCGGTTGACGAGTTGAAGCCTGTGATCATGTCTCAATCTCGCATTTGGCGAACATTTAGATTGATCCTCTTGGTTTTCATCCATCCTCGCCATTCCAAAAATTTGCCATCTTCACCAGCTGGCCATTCTTCAAGATAAGCAGGGCATGTATCCTTGAGCACTTTCGGCACTCCGTGCCAGGCATATCTTGATTCATGCGTCATGTAAATAGCGTCACCAGATCTAAGTCTCAACAGCAGGTACTGCTTTTCGCCAGGTATATCGCTTCCAGTCCCTGGTTTCAGGTCATTGGGGGCGATCATGAAAAGACCATCGCAGCCAAAGCTCAGGCTGATGAGTCCTTTGTCTGTCTCTTCGCTAACATCTCGGTGCATCATCATGGTGTCGCCTGGTGTATAGAAGTTGAGAATGGCTGCCTGTGCATCAGTCTCAGGGAACAAGTCCTTCAACAAGTGAGAGATGTCGGTCGGGAACTGCGGCGGCAATTCTTGAGGGTAAATGCGATTAGTCCAATCATACTGGCCACCAAGAGTTACCCAGTGTAGTTTTCGTTGCATGACCTGCTTGATGGATAGCGGCTTATGAACGTTGGGGTCTTTTGGTATGAACGAGGCAGGTGTTTCGGGGTCGATGGAGAAGAAGGATTTCTCATCTTGATCTTTTCCTTCTGGGTATGGTAGTTTGTAGTGTAGGTGCAAATTGGTCTGGTGGTTCTGCACGCTGAGATCACGATGGATCGTACGATTCAGTAAGCTCTTTTGCACAGATGGCGGCAAAAGTGAGGGGATGATCAACAGGCCTATCGGGTATATGTATATAAGTTTCTGGATGAAGCGGGTAATGAAACGAAGACATTACCTGGCAACAGCGGATGGTGAATGACCTGGACATCACTATCGACCTCAGAGGCCAGGTCCGGGTGTAGTCGAGCAAAGCTTTTAGTAAGTTGCTCTTTAGAGATGATTGAGACTTTGCGAAAGCCAGATTCTTCTAGAGGGGCGCGTGGATCATCGATACGGGGGTCGTTGAGCAAGCTTATATGATCTTGACGCATAAAACTCTTCCACTCAGCACGCATCTCGTCAGACGGTTGCTCATGGGCGTCGATTTCTGTGAGGTTCGTTGTTCCCATCTTTACGATCTTGACAAACACATCAAGTAAAGTTTTTGCAGATGAAAGCGCTGCTCAGACTTTTCCCCCTTCCAGCTTATATACTTTGAGACTTTTCAAGTGGTAGATATAAATTCGTAGTCTCTAGTTGCTATCGTGCTCGTTGTCACGGCTTACCCTGTAGACGTTTTTATTCAACACGTGACTTCATATCCTCTAGTGATGCTTTACTATCACTCAATTGTACAATAAATAGGTAGTATCAATCGTCACTGTATCGGTTGATCTGGGCATATCTTGTCTTTTTTCTCTCTTCTTGCATTCTCTTTGCTCGAAGTCAATTTGTGCGGTAGACTTTGTTATGACTGTAAGATTCAGCTTCTAGGTTTTTGGCCATAAAACTTCAATCTAGTGACCCTGTCATTTGTACTACACAATAACGACAGACACTACGATGGTGCTCCCACGACTACTACAAGGGTCTCGGCATCACTTCTCTCTGTATTTTGCTAACTTGGCTCGACAGAAGGTTAGTTTCTGTTCTACAGGAAGACTGGGTATACGTCAAAGACCACCACGCCGAAGTGTAAGGGCTTCTGGCTTATCACAGCCAGTCGGGGATTCATCAGATGTACAAAAGATTCATGATCCACCACTGGGCTTTGATTCAAACGTTCCGGAGCCGGTAGGCCCTGATACTTCAGAAACCAGTACCGCACAAGACCGTTCCGACGTCCCAAAAGCACAAAAGTCGAAATCTACCAAGCCGAAAGGGCCCTTACCAAAAGGCATCAAACCTCACCAGCAACTGTTGTTTCAAAGTGAATCTATATGTTTCAAGCAGGGTCTAGAGTCGCCAGTTGATGTGCCTAAAGAAGACAAACCCCCTCTCGCAGCAGCCGGAAAGTTCTTCGAAGAGGGCTGCCAGATACTCTATTCTGCTGAATCCCTGTATCACCACCCTCAAAACGACCATGTTCCAGAAATCGTGGTACTGGGAGCCTCCAATGCCGGCAAATCATCTTTCCTCAACGCCCTCACTGGTGGCACAGAGATCGCCAAAGTTAGCCACAAGCCAGGCAAAACTACCACAATGAATGCCTATGGTACAGGGCCACGGCCAAAGATTGCCAAAGAGCTTGTTCGCAAGGGAGATGTGCCACCTAAACACAGCCTTATCCTCATGGATACACCAGGCTATGGCTTCAGGAGTCAAGAAGATTGGGGGAAGACCATTCTCAAGTATCTCAACGTCAGAAAGATGCTTCGCGGCGCAGTACTTTTGATGCCAGCCGACAAAAAGCTTCAAGAAACGGATAGATGGATGTTAAGAACCCTAGCTCGATCAAACACTCGAACTTTGGTTGTCATCACCAAAGCCGACAAGCCTGGAGAGAGATGGCAAGCAGCATGTCACAACCTTCACGACCAGATTCAAGACATCATAGGTGGGCTTTCAGCTCATTCAGCTCCAAGCTGGAGGGAAGGTTCTAGCCGCATACTCGATGTCTATGCCACAGCTTCCAAAATAGCCTTCGTATCTCGTCGTTTGGGCAATGGTGGAGGTATTGGAGGTGTAAGACTGGCAATCTTGGAAATGGCTGGCTTCTCTCTAGGCGAGAAGATCGAGAAGCAAGCTGAGACGAAGGCTTATTCTGGGAAGGTTGTATCTTTTGATGATATTGTTTGGAAGTCCTGACAAAATCAACAGGACTGTCGTGGTTTATAATTCAAAGTTACCGATATGTAAACGAAGACCCTGTACGATAGTCGCTTAAGAAGGGCCCTTTAGCATAGTCACCAGGGGCATGTAATTTAGAAACAACAAGTCTCCACGGAAACCTATAATCGAGGCCAGCCCCGTTTTTGACAATGTATTACAACAATTTTAGAAGGGATAGAGACCCTTTGGCGCCATCATCACTAAATTACACCCAACTAGTAAACCCGTCCATCTACATTCTGCTCAAAACGCCTACTCTTTTCATGAATCCTTTGCTTCGCCACTCGATTTTGTCGAATGTGCCGTTCCTGGTCGACTGATGGACTTGCTGATTGACTGCCTCAACTTCCTACTCCCCTTTGTGTCGAACAAACTCTTTACCCTCTTCAATCTCGCCCATCGCTCCTTGTCCTTGGCATCCCTGTCTTTGTCGTCGTCTTCGGCGTTGTCTGGGATAGATTCGGCAACGGAGCCGGGTGTCGCAATTGGTGTGTTGATAGATGCAGCCGTACCAGGCCTCTGTGGTGTGGTCGGCGCACCCATCGAACGCTGAGTTCGATGCCGGGCAGGCGAACGCCCCTCATAGACACTTCGAAGGTGGGCTTCGTTTGTGAGTGTTTGCACCAGCACCTTCCAGCCTGGCAAATCTTGCCCGGAACGGCTTTGGGAATGGCCTTGCCTTTGCGTTTCGGGGTTGGACCACGGACAGAAGAAACGATGTTCTCTGGACGGGTCTAGGAAACCCATGGGGGCAGGTACTATGATATCTCCATTATCTGCCACTTCTTTACTCTTGAACATCCAGAGCCCCAGGCGTCTAAGGCATGTGTGACAAGAGGCTGAGTTTGGGACTGCACCAATGCGGGGATTGTTTAGACCTTGCCATCCCATCAGGGCAAGTGCCAAGGCGACACGGTGTGGTTGAGGTTTAGCCTCTTTCGCAGGAGGTGGCTTAGTGAAGAAGCCGCTAGGAAGTTGTGAGAGGACACTGTCTAGGTTTAAGTCATCTGGCAATCGAAGATTGAATTCGTATGGCAAGAACGCCTCTCTTGACAAGAGCTCATCATAGCGCTCACGTAGAGCGGCAAGGGTCACCTTTGCATTTGTCAGAGATAGACGTAGAATAGAGTCTGTGGGAAATTATTAGCAAATCATTATGTTTTGGCTCACAAGAGCATGGACTTACCATCGCAGCCTCGTTTGCGCCAAAGACATTCGTCCTGGTGTGAATTTACAATCAGGTCGGCATACTTGTCCACCAGAGCCTCTTCTGTATAATTCTCAGCACATATGGACAGTGTGTCGATGCAACTAGCTTACCAATTTCAGATGCTACGAGAACGGAGATCTCTTTGCCGTCAACGTCCTTACGGTTGAGCTTGACAACCAATTCGCGATGACAGAGAAGGCATCGAACTGTCTCCTTGCCATGACATACCCATCCACGCTTCGCCCATTCCACCTCATTCACTCTTTCCGGCTTCGGAGTCCAGTCTGTTATCTCTTGGAAAGTACCGAGTCGCTTCAACAAGTCTCCTCGATCGGTTGGCGCATATCGTGCGGGTGGTGCATTGGAACTTTTAGACGAGTCTTGGCTTTGCGGGCGTCGAGAGATAATTGAAGATATGGTCGCCGATAGGTTGGCCCTCTTTCCCAGCTTAGGAGCAGTCGAGTCTGGAAAACCAAGTCGTCGGCGTTTCTGCAGCAGCTCTAAATCGACACCGGATGCGCGAGCTATTGAGCCAGGAGAGGCAGTCGTGCCGGGGTCGTGCGCTGGTGTGTCGTCGACATTGTTCGGGCTCGGTGGTCCTAGGCCTTGTAGTAAAGTGTTGAATTTCCTTTTCGTTGCGTTGGTCGACATCTTCTCAAGATCCAAGAAGTGCTTGTTCTAGGACATGCAAGGCCGAGTCTTTGCTGGCGTACTGTAAAAGGACTCTCTGATACCACGCGCCAAATGTGGGAATTAAATTGCCGTCTCTGCTTCTCAATCTTGAACCATAAAGTGTTGTTGATGCATATGAGAAAGGATGCTACAGGCTGGTGTTTGTTTTGGTTGCGACGCTGGGGATAGGTGATGATGCACGAGCCTGGGCGTCGCCAGAGCTGCAGGTACTAACAGGCAGGTGAGCTAGTACAGCTTCCAGGTATAGGTGTTAGTAAGCCTGGAGATTCAGTGCGTAAACATGATTCCACAGTACTTTGAGCTAAGGGGTCATCATGTCGAAAGTGACTTGCCAGACTGCATTTGATGAGACCCCTGCTAGCGCTTGAAAGCATCAGGTACATCCGCTGTTCTTAAGGTACTTCTGGCGATAAGGCATCCGGCAACGATAACAGCAAATGCCCCACATCTGATCCACATGTCCACTGAAATTTTTTGTTAGCCAGTCTCTGGCAAGCGCGGACGAAGCGAAATATTTCTGTTAGTCCTCAATAACAAGACACATTCTTGCTGTTGCAATTGCCTGCGTTTTCCCTCTGGCATTGGCATATGTCTGGCTCGAACCAAAACCCTCCGTCGTGGCTATTCTCGAATAACCCTCTCAATCCTGTGAAACCTACCACTACCCCCAACAATATGGGCAAGAAGAGCACCAAGGCCGCCGTGGCCAAGAACGATGTCGCATCCGCGCCTCCGCCTGGTCAGCTCATGGATTTGGTAGAGAACTTCCTCATCGATCACTCGTTCAAGAGCGCTGCCGATGCTTTCAAGAATCAGCGAGAGAAGAAGGGCTGGCAAACAACTGCTGCGACCGAAGAACAATGCAACCCTTCCCTTGTCGGTGTCTTCCAGACATGGGAGGCTACCAAGGGCGCGGATAGCGGCAAGCCCAAGAAGAAGGCCTCCAAGAAGACGCCCAAGGGTTCTGATTCGAACGACAACAAGGAAGAAGATGTCGACATGAAGGACGCCGAGTCCTCTTCCGAGAGCTCTGACAGCGACAGCGAGGAGGAAGCTGCCAAGCCTGCTCCTTCCAACAATCTCAAGCGCAAGGCCCCCGTCGATGATTCCTCCTCTGAGTCGTCCTCAGACTCCGACTCAGATTCGAGTTCTTCCGATTCCGATTCTGAACCAGGCGAGAAGCCACAGGCTAAGAAGCGAAAGCGCGCCTCATCCTCGAGCTCCAGCTCCAGCTCCTCATCCTCAAGTTCCAGCTCCTCTGAGTCCAGCGATTCTAGCGACTCCAGCAGCGACTCCGACGACGAGAGTGCCGAGTCTGATTCTGATTCTGATAGCTCTGACTCTAGCTCCGATTCAAGCTCCGATTCCGACTCCGACTCCAGCAGTTCAAGTGGTTCTGAGGGCAAGGCCGCCGCCAAGGTGCCGCTCCCAGACTCTGACGGCTCATCCTCAGACTCCGACTCTTCAGACTCTTCAGACTCCGAATCCGACTCTGACAAGAAGAAGAAGGTGAAGAAGGAAGCCAAGGATTCCTCCGATTCTTCTGTCACCTTGGACAAGACCTCGCCCGAGTTTCAATCAAACTTGGCAAACCCACCTCTGCCTCCTGACCCCGTTATAAACGGCAACGGGAAGAAGAAGCAGAACGAACCTTTCTCTCGTATCCCCAAGGACATCAAGGTCGACCCTAGATTCGCCTCGAACGAATACGTGTCCATCACTTACTCTCAGCGAGCGCACGAGGACCTGATTGTTACCAAGGGCAAGGGCTTCACCAAGGAGAAGAACAAGAAGAAGAGGGGCAGCTACCGCGGCGGTGCCATTGATATTTCGGATAAGAAGGGTATCTACTTCGACGATTAAAGGAAGCGCCTGTACTTGGCTATTGCATAATGGTATTGGAACCCGGAGTAAGATGAAGCATTTTTTTGCGTTAATAGATAGCCGGCGTTTGGAATGTGACATGGTCACCCGCCAAAGAGATATAGAACTATAACACGGCCATCTTGGTGCGAGGTGAATGATTTCTAGACTTGACTATTCCTGAGACTGTTTAAATAAATCACAAATGCTTAGGGTATCTATGTGTATGCTTGGCCTATGCTAAAATGCTAAAATGCGTATCTCATGGTTCGTCGTGCCGGTATCAAAAATACAAAATAGTGATAAGCAAAAGAAAAACAGTGAGCTATCTGACAACGTTTCCAATGTGCCGATTTGCAGACGTTATCTTGTCTCAAAAATTTGAGCCGCCTTTCTCCCAGTCATGGCCTTGCCTCGCGGCAGCCGTTGACTGAACTTCAACAGCTGGTGCATGTTGAGCTGCTTCATCAAAGACTTCGTCGGCGGCAAGATTCTCCTTAACGATGGCATCCTTCCTGGCCACGGAGCCCCATGACCTGTTTCCATTCTTAGCATTCGCCAACGCCTCCCTGAGCCAGTTCTTCCACTGGTCAGTACTGGGCGCAGCTCCGCTGCCAGCAACCCAACCAGTCCGTTGAGTTTCCCGAATAGCATACCACAACGTCCGCGTGAAGCTGGGATAGCCCTCCCGCTGATCGTTGTCGTTCGTTGTTTTATGGGCATTTTTCGCATCGTCGGGGGTAACCTCTTTACACTCATACCTAGATAGATCCCAAAAATAGGACCGAGGGATCATGCCCAGGCCCCAGTACAGTCCATTGAGAACAATGTAACTGCCGCCAATAAATATCTGCGAGTTCCAAGTGCAGTTTCCAAACAGAACAACACTTAGCATGAGCAAAGTAGTCCCAAGAGCCATGAGTAATCTATATGCACGACCACCAACATGATAGTGACACTCTTCTGTGCCCGAGTATAGTTCTCGAGCAACCTCTTCAGTACATTTGATGAGAAGAAAGGCGCCTTCCCGCGTCCTGATCATGACATCGCCTCGAGGGACTTGATTCGTGTGTTTTCGGTTCATGAGAATGGGATGCCAGGACGAAGCATAACCCACGATCGTCGAGGTAAAGGATATGAAGAAGACGGACAAAATAGCATTGCCATCTTCCCACACCACAGCGCATGCTATAATGGCCATGCTCAAGAGACATGAAAAGACTGAAAGTATGTGAATTGGCGAGAACAGCTTGGCCGGGACCGCAGGACGTTTTTTGGTGTTAGCAAAAGTAGGGTTTGCGAGCATGTCCTGAACCTTTTGCTTCGCCGTAAGTCGGCGTGTGATAGGTTTGGGGGCTTCTTCATCGTATAGTGACTTGTCTGGTATTTCGAAGGTGGTTATACGTGCCGCAGCAGGTGAACTTGCTTGTGCAGGCAGAGGTAGACCGCCGTCAATCCTCGGGGCACGAGCGATACGATTGCATCGTGCCTCTTTCCCATTCTGTTGTTGTTCTTTGCTATAGGAACTTGAGCGTCGAGACTTGACCCAGTTGAGACTTCGCGTGGGCCAACTTTCCTGGGCCGGAGAAGAATTGATATCGGCCTCGTACAACTGGGATGGGTCAGTGTGTCTAATCTCGTAAACACTGAAGCTGTACGGCTGGAGGGTGTCCAGAGGCGTGATGATGGTCGCGAAGAAGCCCACGGAGTCGAGAGTAGTTCCGCTGTAAACACCCGTCATTTTTGCAAGTGTTTCGGGCATTCGGCTCGGGCGTGAGGGCTTGAGAAGAGCTTGAGGTGCAGGGATCAGTCGTGGAAGGAGACATAGTAAAGACGCCGTAATGGTCTGAGTCTGCTCAGCCATGGCCGACTCGCCAATGACTGCAAGAAGTGTAACGACGTCGAGTGACCAGTTGTTTTTCACGTTCGGAAACCATTTCCAGCCTGGGCTGTCTGAATCAGCCATGTTGGCGATGTACTAGGTGAGGGATGATGCGGAAGTAATCTGGTGGTGATATGAGTGTATATATAAAGAGATGTTGCACTTTGACATGGCAAATGAGTGAAGGAATTCATAGAGGGGCAAAAATCCATAAACAAAACTCAAATCGTTATCATAAAAGAACTGGACTGAGTTGAGTTGAGTTCAAGCTGCACAACCTGGAGTTCATGACTAGTATTTAAGAAAGAAAGCTTAAGCTAAAGATTCAGCTCTTTATTACAGTGGATCGTACCCGTCTTTGAAACGACGTTTATCTTGCATGGCTGCGCCACGGCGGCTGCACCCGCTCGTTGCCCAAACTCGCGTCATCTTAGCTGAGCCTCCACTGATTCCAGGACGATCACTTGGGGTAGATTTGCAGATCTTTATGATGTTTTTTCTCCCATTGATAAAGCTGCCTGCTCTCAAACTCTTATGGTATACATATTTAAGATGTTGGGGCTGAGCCTCTTGGTGATGCCTATGGGACATGATACGTATAAAAGAGATGATTAGGCAATTTTGCTAGTTTGACAAGGAGAACATGCAGCTCAAAGAACGACAATGTACCTACCTACCTACGTAACAGGCTGAAACTTGGTAGACAACGAAGGGGCTGCGTATCGCGTCCACTAAATACGGTGTACGGCAAGCGAGAACTCGACGACTGCTCACGTAGCACAACTTGCACAAACAAAACAGACAGCAAATAGTAGAAGGACATTGCCAGGCTATTGATGGCTATGTCAACAAAATCAAAGTATGTATCCATTACTCCCAACCAGCTTCAAAACAGGCTCTCCTGTTGTCATTCATTCGTCTATAATTGGTGGCTACATAAGCCAAATTCTCGCTCTCTGCAGAGTCCATCTCTGTCCCTCTTTGGAAATATCGCGCCAAAAGCAAAACCAGCCACCGCCATCATTGATTGCCTTGTTTCCATTCGCCATACTCCTGGTTCGCCTATGGATGGCGAACTGTCGCCGTTGTGAAAGAAAAATAAAACCGCCCATAAATGACACCTTTAGTTATTTGAACTTCAAATGAGGCTTCTTTCAGTCCCGTATGTTGTGATCACCCAATCGACAAACTCCTTCCATTTCTGCTCCCAATCACGAACTACAGCAGATTGCTCATAGTCCGAAAGACAAGCGTGTTCAAGGCTCCATAGCACGAGCTGTTTCCAGCCAAACAGTCCCATGTCGGCCTTGCCAACCATGACCTGGTAAAAGTCATGAGATAGAGAGGATCTGTTTGTCTCGGTTAGCGATATGTAACATTTCAATGTGTGAGATGTCTAACCTGAATAGTGTCCCATTGTCTGAGCTTACCGTGCAGTGCACGTTGTTGGCAAGAAGCTGATACATGGCATGCCCACTGACTCGTGGCGTAAGTCCCAGGATCTCGTTGGAGATGGGACAGAGTTCAAGGCAGATGCCACGCTCCTTCATATGCTGCATCACATAAGGATGCTTGGCTAGCGCAAACCCGTGCCCGATTCTCTTCGACTTCAACAAGAGTGCATCAACGAGGTTCCCGTCGGTATCGGTTCCCATATCCAGTGTCTCGCCACAGTGAAAGAGGAACGGTATTTCCACACCTTCACTGGCACAGTTGTCCTGGAACTTCAAGAGTTCAGGAATGAAGTCTTTGATGGGCCGTCCTTTTGCCTCTTCCCCAACAAGGTCGAATCCTACACCGCAGTCAGTAAAACAGTCTTCGAAAAATTAAGATGGAACAAGGCAGAAGTTTCTTACCAGCGATCCATTCTGGCCACAACTTCTTGAAGGCCAGACACTCTGCAAGAGCGGCCTCGATCTTTTCTGGTGCAAATGACCGGGGCGTGCAGTAAATCACCTTCAGACCTCCGAAGTATCTTCCTTGCTTCTTTATGTCGATTTGGAAGTTCTGGACTTCTTCAATGATTAACTTCATGATGCCCTTATTGTCGATGAGCTGTTTGCCGTCGTCAGTCCAAAGTTGATTGCTAGTCATGAAATTAGGTCGAATTTCAGCATAACTGATGTTATCTTTCATAAAGTCCTCCAGACATAAGCGAGTATATCTTCGATATGCAGTAGCATAGTTAAAGAGACCCTTCATCATACGCGTGCGTCCGTTGAATTTCTCCCATGCTCTTTTTAACATTAGTATTTGCCCTTTCCAACAAGGGGTACACATAGTCGACTTACCCCGATGCGGTCTGCAAATGGTTATGAGTCTCCTCCTCATGAAACATTAGCTTTTCAAAAAGCCACTCATCAACGCTGGTAGAGTCTTTAGTGTAGTATCCTGGAAATTTGTTGAGGAAGTCTTTGAAGCGCATTGTCTGCCGGGGCTGATATGACTGAGAGAACAAATCGCCTGGCGATTCTTTCTCGGGGCTTAGCAGAGAGAACTGGATCTCGCATCTGTCAAAGTTGACGTGATTGTTGTCCGAGGTTAGGGGCACATCGCTCGTAATGAACATACGGTCCATCTCTTTGGCGAGGTTGAGCAGAACGTGAGGAGCAAGACAGGCGTTGAAATGAATATGCAAGTGGGCGCCCTTGGGCATGCGTTGTGCCACCTTGAATAGACTTGTTTGGTCAATGAGGTGTTTGTTGGATAGAAAGTGATCTCCTGCAAACCGGGGATGTTGCTGCCCACCGTAACCTGCCCTTGATGCAGCTTGGGCGTACACACTCTCCTCATCGTCACGTCTCAGCTTTTGAATGATAGCATCTGCTCGCCTTTCCTGAGGTGTGCTGCGCATGCGGCAATCATGATCAAAGTCCAAAGCTTTCTCGCGAGCCACCAGATTTTGCCGCAACTTGAAGTAGTCTCCAACGGGGCCAGATTCAGGTGTGACTGTGTGTGATTCTAAAGATGCAGTAAAAACACTCCGACCTGCAATTTCTGCATCGTGAGCCTGGATATGGCATCGCGCCGCTGCCGCAGCGTTTGGTAATGAGTCCTGGTTCCTCATCCCGATGATCTTGGATTGATTTGTCGTGCGTTGCGATAAACGAGTCATGAAGCCGCTACTTGAATGCTGTTTCTTATCGTCTTCGCGATGATGGTCCTGACTAAGTTGTCGATGATGATGACCCTTGGCTTCATCTGCCAGTTCTGATCTGGAGCAGAGAGCGCCCATTTATGTTGAATAGGAAAGCAAGCTACCTAGCTAGTTGCCAAACTCGATCTGGGAAGTTGAATGAATCAGGAGGGAATAAAGAAAGGGCCAACAGAGGCAGCAGAGGCGCAGTCATTCAAAGCTCGTCTAAGAGAGTTGAGGCTGTTTGCGGTGAATGACTCCAACTTGATAAAGCGCGGCTCACAAGCCAGAGCCAGGTGATGGTCACTAACTAGCCAAGGGTGGGCGGGGATAATCAAGATTAGGCCAGCACAGAACTGTTAGTGGTGTTGCGCTGCTCTGCCAAGCTGTTCGGTTCGTACAGTTAAAAGAGCTCGAGGCTTAGTCTCGTGAGGCCCTTTGTCTAGGTAGATAGGCTCCAGAAGTAGAGAGTTTCTTAAAACAGTCTCAGTAAGCTGGAACCCTAGGCATTTGTTGGCTGCGACAAAGGTGATGGTGTTCCAAATAACCTATCATGCAGATCGGTTTCGTTTAGGTCAAGATAAACTGTAAATTTGGTCGTTTGTTGTTTGTCGGTTACAAGTGTAAGTATTGCCGAGTTTGAGGCAGTGCCCTCTGGTTGAGCTTGGGTAAGTAAGTGGTAGGTATTGTGCCTCCTCTTTCACATTGCCTTGCCTGACTAAGGAAGGTACTTAGGCTGTTAAGGCTGAAGGCCAGATGCTTCTAACCTTGGCTTAGCACCCAACTCCGACCTAAGTACCTGACATTTATTCACCAAGAAGATCAGGTACAGAGTCAGCCTGTGCAAATGCTGGTTCGCTACGTTTTGAGTGATTGCAGCGACTTGATGGCTGGCCAAGCCCGCGCTAGTCTAACTTGGGCTCTAAGTCACAGGTCCAGGCGCTTAGACTAAAGCATTTGTTTAATCCACTCTCATCTCACGTCACTTGGTAGTAGTATAGTTATCAGAGCTGTGTAGAACGCCTCATAAGGCTTCCTCATTTCTTCATTTTTTTATTAAAAGATAAAAAAATAAAAGTAATAGCAAAAACAAAAATAAAAATAAAAACAAATTTCCCCAAGTCCCAGGGCCTAGCCAAATCCTAAGCTTGGATTATTTACTTGCATGCCTCCAAATAACTCCCATCCTTATACACCAGGTCACAATTATTGAATCGTTATGTTTATTCAGTCATATTACCGATATGCAAAGGCTCATATTTGTACAAGGCTTGGCTTGGTTTGGCTTTCCTAATTTGTGCATATCCTTCTTTTCAAATATAAAACTCGGATGCTAAGACTGAGTCAACACAATGGCCAACTTGACCGCTTTGTCTATGTCCTTAGGCCGCACAGCCGGCGTACGGCCTAAGCACACTGCCTTGCTCGTCATTTCTATGTCGCGTTAGTCTTCAGTTCACGGAAGGTGTTGGATGCCATCAGCCTCACCTGCGACCAGTCGGTTCACGTCTACCGTCACTTTGGTCTTCATCCAGCTGGACCCTATTGTCCATTCCCGTGGCAAGTATGATGTATGCATAAAGGACCCCATTCCCTGGCCATATTGCTCGCCGTTTGTGGAGCTGAGTTGCGGTATGAAACCTGCCATATCAGGGCCTGTTATCGGTGCCATGAGCGAGCCTCCTATCATAGATGATGTGGTGCTGGCGACGCTGGTAGGCACCGCACCTTGCCACATACCGGGGACATCCGTTGCTGATTGTTGGGGTGGTATGTAAAGTCCTTGGTTGGAAACAGGCGCATGGTGTGCGCCAAAAAAGCTATCATTATTCACCCCGACACCTGCAAGGTCTGGAGAGTCGTCCAATGAACTAATGTCGATTTCAGCATCAATGAAATCCACATTGGCAGGAATCACGATGCCCTTTTGGCGTAAATACGTCTCAGCCTCATCAGCGTCGAAAAAGTCTCCCTCAAATCCCTTAAACATCATTCGCATGCGTTCGTCAATACGATCTCTCGTAGTTTCTACATCCGGGCCAAACGGCCCCATTGAGAAACCAGTCATCTCTGGGGGCTTCATAGACTGAACCAAACCCTGGTTACCCAAATGCAGCCTGGTACCGTCAGGACCTGCTGCCGAATAGCCACCAGCACCTTCACCATCAGGAAAGAATGTGCCAGCACCGCCAAGGTTTGTGAAAGGATACCTCCACACAAAGAGCGATTCCTGGCTAATCCTAGACAACGTGGTGGACATACGATTAATTATTGACTCTTTGGGCTCGAAAAGTAAACAGAAGCCGAAGACTTGAGCGTAGCGATGAGGAGGTGGGTTGGTCATCGATGCCAGCCGCAGCCCTGCCTCCAGTGATGCTCTTTGAAGACGGCGACCGAAGCTTCTCTCTTGTGACGAATAAGTAGGCGGCGAGGGGACAGCAGGAAATGGTGACTGAAGAAAAGGGTTTTGCTCCAGGTTAATCGGTGTCTGGGTATCGTAAACGGGAAAACTTGCGTTGTCTGTTGTCGGCATCGTAATTATCTCGTAAGGTAAATTTAAGGGAGGGGTAGCCTGTTGCCGCATCTGTCCTTCCACTCTTTGCGGAGTAGTTTGTTGTTTGCCATGAGGAACTGTGTGGGTTACTGAAGGGTTGGGCGTGGAGAGATTATCACTCGGCGACCTCGAAATGTTGGAACTATGCGCCGATATACGTCGCTCTGGAGGCTGTGTCGCATCTTCATCTTGCATTGAAGTCGGGGCTAGGGAGTCGCCCGACTCATCTCTGCTTGAATCCTCGGCAGATTTGCGTGTTAGAGAGAGGAATTTGCGAGTTGTATCGTTTAGTCGTCGCGCCACCTCTGGCGCGCCTTGGAGCATTCCCTGAGATAGGACAAAGTCGAAGAAATTCATAAATTCTTTACTCATGTTTTCGTTAGCATCCTCAAGGTCCTTGACCTTGTCCTCTAGAGTAGTAATTGCAGTATCTTTGCGATTACGATAGGCTCGCTGAGCAAGTCGAATCTGAGTTCGGCGGCGCTATGCAATATCAGCATTCGAGACTCAGGCGATTAGGAAGATTGGCCTGCGCTTTAACTCACATCCTGAGCTGTCTCATCTCTGGTATCAAGACGTGGCCGGCCTCTCGATCGCTTCTTTCCTATGTCTTCATCGTTCTCCTCAGAAACTCTGGGTCGCTTCCGTGCTGTGAGCGATTCTGGCTCTGTCTGGGGTTCTTCAAGCATTGCGATAGAATGAGCCCAAAGGCAGACCGAATATTCAGTAACGTCTCGACCTCTTTAGAAAGTATGAGTGTCCCAGGTCGCCCATCAGGGCATTCACGTGTAGTGTATGACCTGAATGATGACAAACGAGCCACTACAATGCGTCGCCTAGATGTGGTTCAGGCTACTCTGAAACGAATCGTTGAAAGGTTAGGTGCCTCTAATGAGGCCAAATACAGATTTCGGGACCCTGTCGGCTCTGTTCCGTGTGTCGAGTAGGGCCATACGGAGGTCACGAAGCCAGGGAAGTTGACTTAACGTGAGTTACTGAGCGAGTGAGTGTTATGATGGAGGTGCCGGCTACGGATGAATTGCAGGGTGAACTTGGGGTTGATTTGGTGGTTGAAGTTGAATTGACCGTGTTTTGTCGACTGGGATCCGAAATGCCGATCGCTATCGGGCTACGAAGCGGCTAGCGCTTAGTTTAGCAATCAATCAAGATTACTAGCAACACGACCGAAACCAGGTACTAGGAACTTGAATCTTTACCGTCTAGACAATATCAAACTTCTGTCCATTCTAGATCACTCTTTCCTATTTTCAAATGTATGGTGAAGTGTTTGCCGATCAACAAATTCAGTTTATGTCGAATATCATAAGCGGTCCCAAAGTTACCCCGATCCCAATGTTTAGTCAGGTAGAGAGGCTCAGCAATGGCTGAGCTCTGATGGAAGTAAGTTACCAGCTAGGGGGTTCCAGCGGATCGGAGCGATGGTTGACCCACTGAAGGGGCAGTGTAAGATCCATCCATGCGGGGATAAGGTGTGGGCGGGCAGGAACCACTTGACAGCTTAAATGCAGTTAAGGTGAAGAGACGAGACAAAAAACGGTTCGACAAGTAATGCCCTGTATAGTACACGAAGCAAAATCCACATTTCAGTTATATCGGTAGTGAAATAACTGTGTCGGTCCTCTCCGAGATGGCCATTGATTCTTTTCTGGCTGTAGGTTTAGTACCTCCCCATCTTTATTATGCTGTACTCTGTAGTTACGTGCATACCTACTAGTAATACCTAGTCTGGTAGGTACTCTGACCCTGGAAGGACTACCACGAAATGTAGGTCACTGCCACTTTTGCGACAGCGGGACGGGCCAGTCTTAATACTACTCCCCCACCAAATCAACGATTTTATCCCTATAGATATCGTCTCACAACTTTCTCCCTTGCTTTTTTTCTACCTTTCCTAAACGTTTCGTCAAATAGGTGCACTCAGCTACTTAGATTGATTGCCTAAGGAAGAGACCGTATCAATCGCTCTGCTCATTCCAGTCAATTGTAACATTCGACCTCACAGCATTATGGCTTCTGTTCCAACTTGATCTCGCCACAATTACCAATTGCCATCACATTCGCGTCACCATTTGTCTGCTCCCCGGCATTACCTATAATGGGAGATTGGGCCCGGGGATGGACGAGAGTTGGGCAAACAGGCCCGATTCAACATTATGGTCGCATATGGGAGGCTGAGCGCGAACGTGAAGAACTGGGCATAATCGACAGTTGGAACGACGATGACAGTTGGCCTGGCATGTAAGCTGTCCATAGCTATCGCGAATCCAACCCTACTTCCATCTCTAACTGGTCGTTTTACAGCAGTAAACCGCTCTTCAACGGCTCTGATGCGAAGCGCTTCGATGCGAAACTTGTCAAACTCGACGACCTCGGATATGGCGCATTTGGTCGCGTTGAGAAGGTCTCTTATGGTTCGGTCTATCTTGCGCGCAAGAGAATTACACGACGTCGCGGCTTCACAATTGATGATCTGCGCAAAGAAAGCTTGACCATGCAGAAGCTTGACCATCGACATGTTGTAAAGCTTATTGCGACGTATGCGCCACGAACCCACGAATTATGTCTCCTCATCTGGCCTGCGGCTATTTGCAACTTGAGCACCCTTCTAGAGGACATAGAATTCTTGCGACTGGGGGAAGGGGATCGTGAGGACATAATCGAGAGGCTCGACGCACTAGACATCAAGGACTTGAGTGCTATCGAGCCCTCTTCTGAAGATCAGCTTCTTCATTCTATAACAAAATGCCCTCTGGAGTTCCTGCGCAACACGATTGGATGTATCGCTCGTGCCATGGCTTACTGTCACCAAAACGATGTGAGGCACCTCGACATTAAGCCGTCCAATATTCTCCTTAAGGCGGATCGCGTGTACCTTGCCGATTTTGGGGTTTCCAGAGACGTCAGTGGACAGGACCAAACGATGACAGAAGGTGTACCTGGAACCGAGAGGTGGCGTGCCCCTGAACTCTACGCCGACAATGGATCTAGCATGCAATTGTCAGATATCTACTCGCTAGGTCTCGTCTTCCTAAACATCGCAACAGTTCTATACAATGTCCGGTTGGCCGACTTTGACGAAGCTCTGAAATATCCATCCAGAAATACACAAGAAGAACAGCTTTGCGAGCGAGAGAAGAAGCTGAACGCCCACCTTGAAAAGCTCACATCCCATGCTCTGGTCACGCCACCTTTTATGTTTACTTATGAGGGCCAAGAAACGGTCCGTCCCAGGCCAGTTGTAAACTTAGTTGCTCGAATGATCACCCCGAACCCGAAAAGTCGACTGCATGCGTACAAGATAGACGAAAAGTTGTCCATGCTGGGAGGGATCCATCAAATATATCATGGCGAATGTTGCAAAAGACCGATTTCCTGGGTCGAGGACAAATGGGACAAGAAGCTCACGACATTGACAAGTCTCCGAAGGGAAAACAACCGTTTGAAACAAAAAATCAACGAATTAGAAGGGCGAGACAGGACGTACGAACTTCGACTTGAGCACGAACGCAAAGGTCATGAGCAGGCCGTGACTACTCTCCAAAAGAAGTTGAAGGACATGGAGGACAGCTGCCTTATGCTGCAAGGCGGTACTTTCCATCGTAAGAGCAGTATAGGCCGTGTCCCTGCTAAAACGGCGATGCCACGACCTGGCCGGACAAGCACAGTATCTTTGAACTCCTATTCTGGGCTTGAGTCGTCACCAAAATCAAAATCGACTCCAGTGACTCCAGCAGCAAGGCCAGCTCTCCAGCCCTGGTCACGTTCCTCTCAACGTCTCCCGCTTGAGCAGAAAGCGTCCCCGCTCCAGAGGCAGGCCGTATCTTCGCGCCCTCCAAACGACACAACCCCCAGGGGGTCAACCGAATTTCCGACATCGCGATCACCAAGTTTTGCGAACATGGTAGGGTATACTTTGCGGTCTCGTGGATCGGGCTCCAAACTTCCCCTACCAGTGACCCCATCTCGCAGTGAAGCGCCGCATCTCAACCACGACCAAAGCTCGACAGACAGTAGCATGTCGTCATCGGTGTTCTCTCGACATAGTATTGAGACAATTTCAACGCCTTTACAAAGTAGTCCAGCTTTGGACCGCAGTCCCCTTCCTATGGACTCAAAACAGGTGCCTACTTGGGGCCAATTGCCCCAAAAGACTCGTCCCAGTAATAGAGTGGCAACCCCTGAACCACCACTATTGACACATGAATCGAGCAGCCCGACCTTCTCAATACCATCCGCCATGTCTTCGCCCAGAACCCTTCAATCAGAGATCGCTAGTACCAACGGGGACCAGACGCGTCGACCGTCTGTGTCATCATTGCAATCATTAAAGAGCTGGGCTGAAGTGGCAAACGGAGGGGAAAAGACAAAGATGATCACCCAACCACGAGCGCACTCAAATAGGTGTTAGAGGCCGCTGGAAGAGGGTCTATTTGAGTAAACAGGAATGTTGCAGTTGTTTGAAGGTGGCATGCGAGACCCTACGATGTAGTCTCCTCGCCATATGATTTCGAGCTTTCTTTTACCCGCCATTTCTACGATATATGTTCGTAGCCAAAAGTTGAATATGATGCGTAGTCACACCGATCTATCTATATATGGTAGTTATACATATGCTTACCGTCGATTTCGTTAAGTAATATTCGCACTTGGGTATATTGAACAAGATGAAAACGTCTCCCTTTTGGTAGCGGCCTCATCGCATGGTTGCGAATCCATGTGGAATGGCCAACGTTTCCATCGGGTTTACCACTTCTCGTGGAAGTTTCCCCTTTATGTTCCAGTGAGCTAGTCCTCGCCAAAAAATTCTCTAACCTTCTTGTTTTGCCTCGCTTGTCTTGGTCCGTTGATTCTAAGCTCTTCAATCTCTACCATCTTGACCTTTTTTAACCACCTTAGTGATGCAAAAGGATCTTGAAATGAGTTGGTGCCGCTCTCTTTTGTTTTTTGCTCCGATTCAGTCTGCTTTCGGCGGTACTCTGCAAGGATCTGGTCGAGAGTTTCCTTCGCAACCTCAGGATCGGTTGGTCTCACGCCGCTCTGCTTTTCTCCCTTGGCCAATGTCCTCTCTTGCTCCACGAGTTTACTAATTGCCTCAGAGCGTGCTGTCCAATCCTCATTGAACCTGAGAAGTTTCATTTCCCACCAAGCTTTGGTCAAGGTAGCACTGAAACGAAATGATTCCAAAGGACCCTCCCGCCTTGCTCCAACTGTATCGCCCTGTTGATGCAGAAGTCGGTGCACAATGTCATCCCAGAGATCCTCCGAGGCAGCAGCTGATACAAGCTCCGTATCGACCTTTTTGGTAGCTTGAATAGTTTGCCTGAATCTCACCGTCTTTGCCCCTAGCGATCGGGAGAGGCTTTCCGGCTGGGGCTTCTTGATTCGCAGGAACGACATAAGCTCGGCAGTGTGTCCAAAAACAGGCACCTTTCGCTCGCCTACGAACGCGGTTTTGGGAAGAGGTCGGACTGTCGGCTCGTATTTTGGGAACTCGTCGGGAGCAGAAACTTTGGTGAGAAGAGGAGGGTTACGCCATTGTTTTGAGGGAGGGAGACTTTTCTTGTGCGGGTGGATCAAGCGAGAAAAATCGGCTGTTTCGTTACGTTTTTGTAGATGTCGAAGTATTTCGGAATGCTCTGGCGACTTCTCGATTTGGCCTTTGGTCAGTAAAGTAAGAAACTAGACAGGTTATTAAAATGTTGAACAGCGAGATTTTCGGGATTCCCACCTTGTACCCTGCGGTCATGGAATCGTAGATAAGCCTCAAGCTTGTGAGTGGTTTATTCTTGGCGAATCTTGTCCTTAGGATTTTTATAACAGGATGCCTGCGTCCTTTGGGGTGAAGGTCTCTGGGTAAAGGAATGCTGGATGCTGTTCGTAAAAGCGATCGGTAGAGCGCCAATACGGCGATCCTGTGCCGCGCATTACGCGCGGGAACGAAAGTATGGCGCTTCATAAAGACAGGCCGTTCTCTGTCGTGCATGTGTCGAAACACTTGCGCTATGGTTGCCGCATTTTTGGTGTTTAGTGTTTTTTGGTTTGCGATTGACTTGTACAGTGGGGATATTTTACAAATGGTGTGTTCGATGACTAAGGATTACCCCGGATTTTGAGGACCTACCCATGCAAGTTGGAACGGCAGTTACAGGCATCAGTACATGTCAATGAGCCTCAATATCTAGAAAGACACTATAATTTCGAACTGAATATCTGTGATCTCCGGTAGTCATGATATAACAAGAGGTTCTCATCTTGACCCATAAGAATTTACCGAACGAACTGAACAATGGCCAGGTACCTTGGTAGTACTAATTGTTATCCAATTCTTATAGGCGGTAATAAAATTGGGCTACCGTCTGAGAAAGGAACGTGACCATTTGGGCAAATGACTGCAGAGGACAATTGTATGGACTGCACCAAAAACAAATATTTCAACCTGGTCAAAGACATTCTCCGAGCCTCCCGTGACGACAAAGCGTGGAGTTGATCAGCATTCAGTATCCATCGCTACGCTCACCAAAGAACCGAAACATCCGAAAGACCCAGTTGATATGTATATAAATCGGACGAGTAATAATTGCCGATGACCGAGACTTGGCTCAGCATTTGTCAGATGAGATGTGCAGCCGCGCGCTTGTGTTGGATAACTTCAGCACTTGTATCGAAAGCTCTTAATGCTGATGGTACCTGTACATACATCCTACTAGTCTAAATACCTAGACTAGTAAACTATGACACTGAGCTGACGGGCATAGGCAACGCGATTTGGCTTACTGGATCGCAAACGATTGACAAAGCAGGTCATTGAAAAGGTCTCTCGCAGTTGTCAGTTGACGATTGGCCCATTTCAGTACCCGACAAGCGGTCTGCGCTTCTGAGCTGGCGATATGGATGCATATATGCACGATCTTATCCTAGTCAAGTCCTGCAAGTAAAAGATTTTTTTGTCTGATCTCGACTGTTGCATTTTCACAGATACTTACATGGGTTCTCAACAGACCAGTGTGTTCTCGATTCGCTGATAAATTATACATAGGCCACGATAGGTGGAACATTGTGTTCAAAAAATGTGACCTTTTTGAGATAACTGTATTGAACTGACGTTGCACTCATTTCTTAGACAAATATTCTGATGACCCATGGCTCCCCGCTAATCGGTACAGAATTTGCCAGCATGGAGACTGTCGATCTTTTCGCAGCCACTAGGAATGGATTGTAACCCCGCGGACGAGTAGACTGACCGACCTTAAAAGAGTCACAAGCGAATGAAGTTGATGTCTCGCGAATACCAGTTATGCTAAACCGTTACTGCAACGTGTTTTAGCCCTACAACAGGTATGTACACACAACTGTCTGTACACCACTACGTTCTATGGCAAGTCTCATCAAACTTGATTGGCTCCTATCCTTTCTCGTGTTCGTGTTGGCCTATTTCAGCTTCAGCATAAACCAATATGACACTGTACGGGAGGGGCCGTGGCTTGCAACAGTCCTAGCAATCGCCTCATGGACGAGACTTGCGTGTGACCTTTCAAGAGCTTGATTTTTGTTCATGTCGCACAGCAAGGTAAACTGGGCTGAACTGAGCGGGCGATAACAGGCTTTTACTGTGCATCAAATTCTCGCTTGACCAAGACTCCATCTGCGAGCATGGGTCACGGTAAAGAGTGAGTGATGTGATCCGCTCTCCCCCACTGTACTAATCTATATCGAGAAACAAACTGGAAGACACGGGAGAAGCCCCAAGAAGAAAAATTCGTCTGAATCCATTTCATGCTGTGCTTTTATTAGATGGAGCCCGGGCCATATTTGACGAGGTTGGTCTCAACAGCTGGTGTTTTTAATGGGTTAGTACTTAGTAGTTGTGCCCAGCCAGACCTCGATTGGGTTCATGAGGCTGCCATTGTGATAGAGACAAAATCCTTAATACCAAACAAGGGAATAATGTAGAGGACAGGCAACAGATGGTAACGAAAGCCCAAGGTACCGGTACATAGACAAAAAGCAAACCCGACAAGGTCAGCCAGCCAACCTCAGAGACATCTCAAGACAACAAAGTAGACAAGGGCAACCAGTGGCAGTTCATGGTGCTACTGTACTGTACTGGATTGTAAAGCTAGGTACGATACTGTAAAATTAGTATTCCAGCCTCTGTTGCCGATCTATCCCAGGGCGGCCTCATCTCATCTCAATCATCTTACCACCACCACCATCTCCTTCCTTTCTCCCCTTTCTCCCCTTTCTCCCCTTTCTCCCTTACCTCCTTTCATGTTTTTCTTTCTTTACCTGAACTATCCATATTCCCAGCCTCGCAAATAATTTTCTTCTTGCACCCACCATACTCAACAATTTTACTGTTTTTTACTTGGATCCTTCTCATATGCATACTAAGACGTAAGTGTCTAGGTTCGCTTTTCCTTTCCCCTGTTCCTCGCGTGTCGCTCCCGATGTCCGTTCTTGGAACCCCTGGTCATATATTGATTAGCGGATGGAGTTTTGCTGCATCGTTGAGCTGTGCCTGGAAGAGCTTGACCGCCCTGTCCTTGGCCTCTCTGCTGTGTCTTCCAGAGCGATCCATGAATGTCATGTCATGACAGTTATGGAACAGCCGGACGAGCTATAGAGTAGACTTATTTCTTACCCCTGGAGCTATTATCTGCTGATATCCATCATTTCTATAACTGATATATCCCCGAGCATCTTCCACCGCTTCGGAACAACCCTTGTCTTCTTGGCCTTGACCGTCTAATCAATCCTCATCTTGCTTTACCCTAATGCATAAGCCCATAAGCTATCACCTAACGCCTCACATCTTTTACATCGCTCAACTTTGTTTTGTCTTGTCCGTCTTTTACAGTGACCGCTTTATTAAAGCTGACTTGATACCCGCTCAGAACTCACGCGACTAGCATTCAATCAGTTCATTCACCAAGTTGCGCGTTCCGTCCACGACAATCTCTCCACATTGCCTTATATACACATATGGTATTCGTTGGACTAGCCCACAACTCTCTTAGCGAAACCAAATCAGCCTCTGGTCTCTTTCAATATCCTCACGTTATCGACTCGTGTGTTATCCAAGTGCTGGCTTCCTCGACGGGTCGGCTATTCTTAAAACATCCCATCCCATCTCGCTCATCCTGGTCTCATCGGACCACAGTTCCCCGGCTTGACATCCCGCCAGATCGGTCACTTTACTGATTGATCACGCACTGAGCTTTGACTGCGTATTCGGGTTCGACAACCATCTAAATACATATCGATTCCTCGACCAGCCTCACAACTTTAAATTCGTATTTGTTATTTTCGCTATTGATCTTCGCTCAGCCTTATTCGATATCGGACTTGGCTTTCTATCCAATATTAAACCACTTTACCAATCGAGCTGTCGCATAAGCTCGATCCAGACTGGGCTTGGCTACAATGTTCCTGCATGCCGGTGCTAGCTTACACGGTCACGAATATTCGACGAATCGTCCATCAACACAAGCACACCAAGGACCATTGCCTTTCCTTCGCTCTGCGCTTCGACGCCAATCGGATGGTGACAGGACTGCGAGACCCATGTCTGCAGTCATAACATCATCATCACCCTCACCACAACCTCGACCCGTGTCATATCATGAGAAGATCCCATCGATAACTACTGTGACACCGATACGTCGCACCTCTCGGCCAAGACCAGTGTCCGAGTACATGCCTCGGCGAGATCTATCTGTTCGCTTCCGCGACCCTGAAACTGACGATGAGTTACCGCCCTCAGAAGTTCAAAGCGAAGATGAAGGTTCGGCTGCCTGCTCAGATGTGAGCGACCTAAGCGATTCCTCAACAACACCAAGAAGGAGAAGGAGAAAGCGTACTTTCAGAAAATCGACACAGTTTCTTCTCGCACACCCAGCTCCAAGACCAGGAGCCAGACAGCGTCGACTAGTTCAGCGTCCACGACTGCTTCTCCAATTACAGGAACTTGGCGAGAAACGCCCTATTCCTGCCTTTGACGTAGTACCATCCAGTCTCATCACTGGTTCTCAGATCGTACCTCGAATGGCTAAGCGTTGCCCGCATCTGTTTCGTACCAAACCAGTACTTGGTGCCAACGATCTTCTCGTTGTTCGTAGCGAGGACTACGGCACACCAACATCTCCCGGATCGCTAGACGCTGAGGATTCCCTCGATCAAAGAGATGTGGTTGCTGTGATTAGCCCTCTTCCGCTAATGGGCGAGGAGTCGGCTGAGATCGTAATGGAGGATGGATCAACATGGGAATCGAGCTTAATGCCCAATGGCTCATACGAATTTATCGGAGTTGACGAGCGAGGGCGGATCAGTACCGCGCGATGGGTAAAGAAGACATCAACACCAGCATCCCCCATGCCCAGGGGTAATAGCGAACCAACACCACCTTCTAGCCCATTACCAGCAGAAGTCAAATGGACTTTCAGTATGATACACCCCGATACGCGAAGGCACCCTATCATGGGCTCCCTCATGTCGAACACGCTGGACGTCTTCGATACCTATAATACCATGTCAACCTCAAGCGGCCGATATCCTCCTACGCGAAACACGCCGATAGATTGCAAGCTGGCCAGTGACTGGATCGTATCCAACCCACCTGAAATTCAATCGCGATTAACAAAGGTTGTACCGGACGACATCAAGCTGCTGATGGTCGCAACGGCATCCTGGGTCAATCTTCGACAGAGTGAATGGTCACCAACGGGAATCTGCAGGGGACCAAGCACATTACAAAAACGCACACTTAGCAATGGCAGCCAGCAGAGAGCTCAAACATTCCCCGTTCGGCCAAGTCTTCCTCTTTTTAACCCTTCGCACCAATTACCACGCGTCAACACGAGTCCAGCTAGTAGTTCGTTGGACAGTTCCTCGTCAGACATACCCTCTCGTCGAAGATCAGTGTCTAATAATGTTGGATTTGTTAAGAGGTTCGTAGTACCTCGTGCTAGCGAGGATGGCAGGCCACCGCTGGAGTCGCTTGATATCAAGCCAGACAGACCACCGACGAGACGTGTGAGCATCAGCATGCGCAACTTTGCGGATAAAATCTTCCGGCGGAGAAGTAATTCTCATGCCCAGGTTGAAGATACATTTCACCCCAGATAGTGTATTATTGTTATTATTATTATACCCATGACTTCTTTGTACTATAGATTTAGCGTGTTCTTGAACGAACAGTCTAGTCAATCGATTACATTGTTTACATTTGCTTGCTTGATGTGGGAAAAATCGCAATCCAAGCTGCCAAGGGTATTCCATTTACCAACTCTTAAAACCCGATATTCCCATCGGGGATCTGAGCCGTGAAGCACGGCGAAGTGGGGCCAATATTGATGCTCGTGAATGGAAGTTCTTATTCACGATCCGTCTACCGAGTGGAGACTTGGGTTGGCCTAGGTTACCGGATTGGGAGGCTGGCAGGAATGTTTGCTGCGGAAGGTTACTTTAGGACAGGAATCTGATCATGTTACTGATATTTGCCAGTAATAAGTAATGTATTAGGCAGAGACGTGTACGTAGCCAAAAGTGTGTTTAGAAATATGAGTAGATGACTTACATGGGTTACTTAGATAGGAAAAGAAGGCTGCATGTTCGACTCAGGGGAAATGGAGGGACTGGGCCAGATGTTTCACTGGCGGTAAGATATGTGAAGTGATAGCATGCTCGAACCCTTGACTATTACGCGTTGACGTAGATGACAACGCTGCCATGCCGCCTTAACTAAGGTATCCCAACTTTATTATATCTGAGTAAAGGTAACTAACTACATTTTACAATAGCAATTGGATGATGTCTTTTTCAATGCTAGACTGCAATCTAGGTACGTCAGTCAATAGTCGGAATAACGGGGTATTCATTACAAGTACTATTTGTGATAGTGTTGATTCATTCATTCATTTTCGACCTACGTAGACCTTTGTAGTAGAGGTACATAAACTAACAAAGTGGAACCGACAAGCCACAAATGCAAGTAGCCGATACTGGAAAGTAATAAGCTCAAGCTTTGAGATTAATCCTCGTTTCAGTATCCGTAAAGCCAAAGAACAAACGTCCATAGATTACCTCGACTAGAGTTATGTTGAGAAATATACAACTGCTCACATTAATCCCAGTGTTTTTCCAACTCTCCGGTCAGCTGTAACTCTAGATGGTCGACAATTGTTGAACCAGCGATATAAGAACTAAAAAGACCACTGTAATATAGCAAATAGCGCGCTATAACTTTTAGCTCAGTGGCCTACGGTTTAACAACAATCACTGCTCATAGTGTCTTTACCGTCATAGAGCGATCACATTTGAGGGGAAACAACTCGAGTACAGCGCCGAGAGCTTAGCCTGGTCGGTATTTATCGCATTACCAGATCAAGAAGGCTTAAGTTAATGCCCAGAGAATCTTAGCATTTCAAAAACATAACTTTATAAGAACGTTCAACCATGCGATTACTTGATTTTTACTCAGATAGAGTAATTGAAACCTTATATAAGAACCTATAAAATCTTCCTTTAACCTAGAGCCTATAAAATCATCTAACTGGCCCTTTCTCCTTTAGAGTATTTTCCCTATAATTAAACTATATATACTTTAGTTATAACTTATAGTCTTAGATTATAATAAGTTATCTTAGCTTATTAATTAATAAGGCCTACTCTTATTCTTTTTTAAACTATTTTAAGTATAATAGCTAATCTAAGGCATTTAAAAATAACTCTTTAGCTAGATGTTAAAGGTAATTCTTCTCAAGAGTAATATTAAGTTCTTCTAGTAGATATTCTTCCTGCTATAGCTAGGTTAGTATATATATAATTAAAGCTAGAATTATAATAGATATATAAAAGTAATGGGCTATAGTTAAAGAGGACTGCTTTAACTTTTTAAGTATTACTTTCTATATTAAATTTATTTATAATAGCCTTTACTTTATTTTTAATGTTTAAGTTATTACTAGCTACTTTAATAGCTAGTATAATATCCTTAAGTATAAAATAAGACTAATAATAATTATAAAGCCTTTATAGGCTTAATTTTTTAATTATTATATTAATCTAGCTAAGGTTAGTTAATAATAAGGATTAAAGTATATCTAGGTAAGTTAATTAATAGCTTAGTCTTTTTATATATCTTTATATTTAAGGAGGAATAAGTAGGCCACTTAGTAAGTCTTATAGTGCTTTTATATTACATAAGAATAAAGTTATCCTTAGAGCTATATCTCTCGTAATAAAGCCGCCTAATTAGATCTATTAGACTTTAAGAAGACCTCCATCAAAAATAAAAAATGAGAATGTCCAGGTAAACCTACCTATAAATACATCGGTGTCGATGAGACTAATAGTAGGTTGTTTTCTATTTGGCCTAAGACCACCAGGTACCACCAGCAGGTGCGCAATTGCCCCGGAAAAGAAAACTGGACCCTGACCTACCCTTAGGTTAGTAGCTGTGAGGAAGGAGGGAAGGGGTATCTCAGGTATACCCGCCAGGCTGCTGCTGCTGGCATCATCCATCCCGCGTCCATCATCACCTGTGTGCGGAACAGGCCCAGCCCGCTTCATAATCTTTCTAACTCCTCCCCTCTTCGACTTTTCGCCTTTTGCATTTGCAAATATTTATTCAGTTTATGGCCAGGTCGCCGTAAATTCTCCGCATTATTGACTGCGCACTTTCAACCCAGAATAAGCAATAAGCTCAATGCGCGTCCGCATCTCTTCGCCCCGCCCTGCGATTGAACAATAAACGTTGGGCTTCTAGCTATCTCACCCCAGAGCAAAGAGCAAAGCTGAGCTCCGTTGAAACCTCGATTCGATATTACGAGCTGGGCAACGGACCCCGACGATATACCTGCACTCCGCCATCTATCTCGAGTAAACGTGCCATTCGACTACTGACAGCTGCGCCCGCACATACATCATCTGTCCATTATGGACGAGAACGTCGGACCTCGCCCTTCGGGTCATGCTTCCATGCCGCCAACAGCTAGCTCCAGCTTACTGGCAAACTTCCAAACATACGAGCCCATTTCACGAGCCACGTCTCCCGGCATTCCTTATCCCAAGACTGGCACCGACGAAGATGATAAGAAACGCTATCGGCCCCGAACCTTCGCCTACTTTTCGCAACTTCCATTCGAGGTGGAGGAGGAGGCTCAACGCGATGCCGCTCTACAGGGAATCCTCAAGCAGCTATACATTGCTGTTCGAGCTGAAGACTTTTCCCCGGGCGCTCTTCATTGGACTAAAGAGCTCCAGGGATGGCTTACTCTCAAGTTTGAGATGACCAGGGAGCAGAGGGCAAAGCTGGCCAAGCTCTACTACTCTCTCGCACTGGCTCCAGGCTTAGATGCGACTGCCTCTGATCGGTTCTTGCGCATGGTCTTGTCTCTGACAAGGTAGGTCTAGCTCCCAGGAACTCGGACATAAATTCACATTTTGCAGGAAAAATCATTACCTCAAGCCAGGCGAGGATCTTGTTCTTGAATGGAGACCTTTGTGGAACGAAATCAAGGCTTGGGTTCTGCCCTCAGAGGTTCCAGCCCATCAGAGCAACCGCAAACGTTCAGCGAAGCAACTGCTCAAGCTTTGCACCCATGCCCACACATACTTCGACCCCTCCGAGCGCCGAGCGATGCTGGAAGAGTTCCTGCCATTCTTCAGCGTCAACGAGTTGCCGAACGCATTTATCGTTGCAGGTGTTCTGAATGCTCTGCTGCCAAGTCATCCTGCTCCTATCAACGAACCTCAGTCACAGCCAGCTGATATTTTCCCTACACTTTTCCATCTTTGGTCGATAATAAACCGATCCAAGGCTTTTGACATCTTCTTTATCGACTTGCTGTCCCGTATTGCCAGAGACCACATAGCCTGCTCCTATGTCCCATTTGGTAGCCACGGCATCTTTTCTAAGGACCAGTCCGACCTCATTTTCACAGCTATTCTCAGACTCACGGGGATTCCCGTGGGCCAGGCCAATTCCCCCTACACCCCTCTAGACTATCTTTCGGGTGCTGGCATATACGTCGAGAAAGACAAGAAGAAATACCCCGTAGCCTACATGATCTCCCGCTTGATTGTGAGCTCCTTGTCTCCAGCTTGCTTGAAGGATGATGACTCGATTATTTCGCATCTAGAGGGTTTCATGGAGTCTATTGACACTTTCTTCCATCCCTCGAACCAGGGTTCGTGGACCACTATGCTTGGCCAATTGACCCTTTACCTTACCGAAGCGTTCGTTTCACGATGGAATCGTGAGCAAAGTGGCGAGTTAGATCTTCCAGAAGATCGCAAGATCAACGATGAGTTGAAGAGGCGCTTTGTAATGTCGCTCAAAGAAGTGACTTTTATGGGGCTGTTCTCCAAGAGCACTCGCGTCTCGTATTACTACTACAGCGCTTTACAAGGTCTTGCCTATCTCGAGCCTGACCTGGTGCTACCAGGGGCATTGCAGCGCTTCTACCCCAGTCTTCAGGGGCTAGTGGAGGTGCACAGAACCACGTCAAGCTTGAACGGATTACAGATGATCGCCAATGTCATGTCTAAAAACAAGGGATACAGATGTCATATCACTGCTCTTCTGGCACTTGCCCTTCCAGGTATCGATGCAAACGATCTAAACAAAACCCAATACACTCTCAACTTCATCCAAAGTGTTGCTTACAGCATTCCTATGGTGCCCTTGGTCAGGGAAGGTAGCCATATACATGACACCGCATTAGCTATGGAGTGGGTTCAGGGCCAGATGGATCGCATGGAACGTGAGGGTCAGAATGTAAAGTTTGACTACAAAAACGAGCTTAGTGATGAAGATGAGGCCAATATCCTGAGGTCCTCAACTACTGGATTTGGCGAGTTCATCCTGACTTTGCTAGGGAAAGTGTTCACTCTGTTGGAGAACTTACCCGATGCCAACCAAGTTCGAGGAGGGACTCCCGAGGACAATGTTATTAATGCTTTGCCGGCTGCTTTGTCGCCGATCTTCGCCTCGTTGTCACCTGAGCTATTCGACATGGCCCTTGACAAGGTGGCCACCTTTGTGTCGAGCCATGTGGTTCACCAAGCACGAGATGCGATGGCGTGGATCTTGAATGCGCTCTGCAAGGTCAACCCTGAAAAGACCCTCAAAGTCTTCATTCCCATGCTAGTTGTCAACATCCGCAACGAAATTGACTACAACAACGCTGCATCCGATCGAAGCAGTGGAACAGACTACCTCCCCAGAGATCGAGCCCTGGTTTGGTATGTCAGCATGTTGGCCATGTCTGTTGTACACGTTGGCAGTGAAGTGTTGAAGTATAAGGACAAGCTTCTCGGCATTGCTGAGTACATGCAAGAGAAATGCCGCGGCTTGCCTACCATCCTGATCTCCAACTATATACATCATCTCCTCCTGAACTTGACCCATACCTACCCCATTGACCACGCTTTGTATGAGCCCGAGGTCATTCAACGTGGACTCGACGTCGATGATTGGGGAAAGACTACTGCTCCAGCAGACCTCAGCATCCGATGGCATCAGCCTTCGCCGGCTGAGATCGACTTTGCTGTTGAACTATTTGCATCGCAGACCAAATCCGCCAAAGACCAGCTGGAGCTACTAATGAGCGATAACCCACCTGTAAGCAGGACGGGAAAGAACAAGGAGTGGTCAGACGAGGTCTCCCGCCTCATGCAGCAAATTCGTCTTGTTACCTCTGGCATGGCCACCATGTTTGACCCTGAGCGTGCCGCGGGCATCATGACCGGCAATACCGAGGAGGACCATGATGTGGCTCGCGAGGATGATGATGAGATGATGATTGACGAAGACCCCCTTGCGGAGGTTGCGGAAGATGAAGAACTGCGCCCACAATTTCGCTACAAGGCAGGATATACGCTCAAGTTCAGCGACCCCGCCTATAGCCGGATTCATGACCTACGAGAAGAACTAGGTCACCTCCTGACCAAAACCCACTCTTTCCTCAACGAAAATCAAGAAGATGACGTGAACTCCTTCACTGCCCTATATGCTGCCTATCGTACCTGGATTACCGACGTTGGCATCGAGCGTTCTGCCCATCCTCTGGAAAGGCATGTTCGGCTATACAAATCTGACATTGCCGCTTTCAAGATCAAGGGTCTCAGAAAAGTTTATCCTCGTCCCCTTCTCATCAAACGTGCTGAGGCATATCAGCTTTTGCGCCGCAAGCATAATGCTTCTTCAAGACAAAAGAGCGAGTTAGATAAACGGCTTTTACTTGATCTTGCAGAGTCAAGTCTTTCGCTCTATGCTGACGTACGACGAGTTGCGCAGAGTGCCCAGGACTCATCGCTCAAATCTCTTATTGGTAGCAAGCCGCTGGTGATTCCTGTCATTCTAGAACGTCTCAGGAAAGCACTCGATGCGAACGACCATGACAGAATCAAGGGAGGCATGTATACTCTACTATTCACATCTCTCTTGAGAACTCTTGTCAAGGACTGGCGATTTGCTCCGGAGGCCATGCGTTTGTACATCGAGACTGCAGGTATCGACAAGCCTTCGATTCAGAACCTGGGTTCGTCGGCGCTATATACGCTAATTGATTTTGGCAAGCCCTTCGAGCGTATGATCATTGTCAATGACGAGCTGGTTGATACAATCAAACCCGCCGCTGATGTGTCAGCGTCAATCGAAAGCCGGCACCAGTTTATTCTGCAACGCCGAACAAGGGTCGAGAAATCCAAGGCCAGTCTAGGGCTGGAGTTGACGCAACGTGCCAAGGGTGCTCACTGGAAAATAGCCACACGTTGTGCAGTCTTTGCCACTAACTTGTGCCTTCGATTCCATACTGTGGCACCTCCTGAGTTTATCGACCTTGTCGCTCAAGGCACAAACGACCCTCATCCTAGTCTCCGTGGCTACTACCTGAGCGCATTCACATCCATCTTTACGGCAGTAGATATGCGAGCTGTCTATGGCCACGACTATCGTAACTATCTTCTCGAGAAGGAAGTAGGTGACAGAAACCGTGTTCAGGTTGCTGTTGAAAAGGGCGACGCTGAGTTCACCCACAACTTCCTTGAAGCGTTCAAGCAACCTGAAGGGGCTTCATACATGGTCGATGCCGATCACCCTGGCTGGCTTGTGTGGGGCAAGAAGTTCACAGCTTACCGCGCAAAGCCCCTTCCTTTCAACGCCTACGACGAAGTCGAGAGTGCGTTGCGCGACCAGATGGGACAGATACTGAACCGCGACTGGCTGTCTGAGTGCTTCAGCTACCTGAAGCAGGAACCGCGAGATACGACGACAGATAGGTTCCGCATGAGTAACGTGTATCTTTTGATGCATGTCTTCGACTTGATGCATTATGGGAAGACAGCGATCACCCTGAATGATGTCAAGGAGCTAGTCAAGGAAGTTTTTGGTGATGGTAACGACAAGCATCAGCATAGAGCAACATCAGAGATTATTGGTGCTTTGCTCGCAGGCTCCAGCGATGATCCGCCAGAAATTCGTAACCTTGTCTGGGAGTATGCTGCGCCGTTCATGCTCAAGATCTTCGCCGACGATTTGACCCCTGATAACCTACAGTACTGGCTCACATGTCTTCATCTCGTGCTCGATTCTAAAGACCCTCGTCGATCTCACGAAATTGTTGACACCCTCAGAGCATTCCGACTTGATATGACGTCTAATGCAGCTTTCAAGGAGTCGTCAAAGGTGCAATTGCTTGAATTTATTGTTGCAGATGGCGGCTGGCACTTCCGACATGACCAGCCTATTCTCGACGATTTTCTTGCTCACATTGACCACCCCTACAAGGCAGTTCGCGAAGCCATTGGCCGAGTGCTGTCGGTTATCTACAAGACTCGATACCATGAATCATTTGAGAATGTGGCCAAACTATTGGAGCAGAACAAGGCTGCTTCAACAACCGGTATTAGGCCCTATCAACCAACAGAAGAGTTTGCAGCAACTATCAAGGACGTTTTTAGCCGTCTCGAAAAATGGCGCCATGAGAGAACACCTGGCCAGCAGACACCCAGCTCTTATACCTCAGGCTCCAAGACCGTGCTCATGTGGCTAGACTGTACACTTTCGTCTCATGAATGTATTCAGCTTGTGCCTTTTTTTCCTGCTCCTTTCATGGAAGAATTGCTGCACATGATGGACGTCAAGGAGGACCCTGAGCTCATGAGACTTGCTTATCATGTTTACCGCCATTTACCAAATATCCCTTTCCGTGATGGCGAGGACGCGGAATTTATCGATGCACTCATTCGCATTGGCAAGACGTCGAGTAGTTGGCATCAAAGGCTACGTGCGTTAGTCAACATGCAAGTCATTTACTTTCGACGCATTTTCCTTACACGGAGCGCTCAAAGGGAAGCACTCTTTACCGCTGTGTCTGATATGCTAGGAGACCCTCAACTTGAGGTACGTTCGTGCGCGTCAACGACACTGGCTGGCATGATTCGCTGCTCGCCTCGCCGTATTCGTGACCCAACAATTGTACACCTCAAGGCTCGTTTCGAGGATGAATTAGAGCGTAACCCAATGCCGAAACGAAACCGTCATCTTGCTGGGACAGATACTCCGGTTGACATCCACAAGCAAATCACGCGACGTCATGCAGCAATACTTGGGTTAGGTGCTTTAATCGAGGCGTTCCCTTATGCCACTCCTCCGCCCGAATGGATGCCGGAGGTGCTAGCAATGCTAGCTCGCAAGGCAGCTGCTGATCCCGGAGTTGTGGGCAAGGCGACCAAAACGATTCTCAGCGAGTTCAAGAAGACGAGACAGGACAGTTGGACAGTTGACCAAAAGGTTTGTTCATGTCACCTTGTTATAAAACAGTCACCCTCTTAGAGATTTTACTAACAGTTTATCAGTATTTCACATCCGAACAGCTAGAGGACCTAGAAGGTGTGCTCTGGAAGAGTTATTTTGCCTAAAGGAACCGAACCAGGCAGGGTTGGGTTCAACCTTGTTCTATATCGAATTGCCTTGGCGACAGATACGACACAAACCAATGGTGGGCCAATTAGCAAAGAATGTGCGGCGATGATCATAAATAAGTCGAAGTTGTCATGGAGTTGTCTTCTGTAAATCTACTGATGGTAAATTACATGCGAGGCAAAATACATAGAGCTTATGTACGAGGCCACGGGTGTTTTAGTAGAAGGACTGCAGACCTTTGGCACTACAGCCAACCCCATCTACGGCTGGGTCACGGAAAGAATAGGTGGAAGAAGGGGATGTAAAGAAGTGGACAAGAGAGAACAAGCCTCTTCGTAACGCAGCCATTCTAGAAAAAATGGAACAAGATTTACAATATACGAAACCTAGTGGCTGAATACCTGTATTCTCATAATTAATACCTACCTAGCTAGAGGGTACCAGAAAAGTTGGCCTCCAAGCATTAGGATACAAAAATAAACAACCTAAGTCTGGCCTAAGTAGTATAAACTGACCTACTAATTTCGTCCCTTATTCTTCTAGCGGCCAATTTTTCTAATACTCTGATGCCTGCTAAGGTAGCAACAATGCTAAATTGGAGGTTAGGATACCTACTTCCTAGGTAGTATTAACGGGGCGAAGCTCTATGATTGGTTGAAAGCTACTTATCTATAGGCAGGAGCGGCAGACAGATTCCCTCCCTACTTACCTACCTTTAGTAGATAGATCCTGATGCTCATCTCAGTGAGGGGATGATCTCTCCAACGACCGTTTTCTTCTCACCACTACTTGAACTGGAAGAATCAAACGGCTGTCCCTGTTATCTACTCATTACAACGATCCTGTATACCAACAAAATAGAACCACGCGTCCTATACGTTGCAACATGGCAGAGCCCCCCCAAGTGAAGCCTCGTCTTGTCATTCATGGAGGGGCGGGTAACATTCATCCCAACACATATCCCCCGGAGAAATTCCAAGCTTATCGCAAAGCCCTCGTTGACATTGTGAGATTGCATCTCAAGCCCGAGGCAACAATAGCTGACTGTCGTCTCATAGGTTACAAGAACTGACCAGTACATGAAAAGACAAGATGGATCCTTTGCAGAGAAGTCACTCAGGAAGTTCCCTTCAGCCTTAGAATCTGCAACCTACGCCGTTCGTCTTCTTGAGGATAGCCCGTTGTTTAATAGCGGCCATGGCTCTGTCTTCACGCGCGACGGTATCAACGAGCTGGAAGCTTCGGTGATGGTATCTCGTGGCCATAAGAAGCAAGGCGTAGGCGTCATGGGCCTTCGCCATGTAAAGAATCCCATCCTTCTAGCCCGCGCGATGGTTGAACATGGCGAAGACGATCTCGAACCACGATCTCAAAATGTCAGCTCTGGCAGATTGGATGTCCCATCTGCACAAGGCCATGTACAACTTCATGGTGAGGCAGCAGAACAGCTGGCGGAACAATATGGGTTAGATTTGGTTGACCAGAGTTACTTTTACACTCAGCACCGCTGGGATGAGCATATCCGAGGACTGGAGAGAGAGGAGACAGGTCAGGGGCAAGCAACTTGGAGTGTGAATGAGTATGTCTCTCAGGGTACTTGCGGAGCGGTGGCCCTTGGCCGGGATGGCGTCATCTGCGCCGCGACCAGTACCGGAGGGCTTACAAACAAGCTCACCGGACGTATTGGTGATACGCCCACGATTGGGGCGGGTTTCTGGGCTGAGGAATGGACTGAAGATGGTGATCCGACAGGACCATCGATGTGGGACCGCTTGAAAGATACTGCGAGCCAGTCAGGGCCTTGCCTGGTACTCAGCAATGCCCTTAGAGGGGCGTTGGCAGATTTCCTGCCTACTCCCGCTATGTACACTCCTCTCAGTGCAGGTACATACACAATTAGATCATTTGGGGGATCTGGTACCGGTAACGGCGATTCGTTCTTGAGAACCAATGCCCTGCGAACAGTTGCAGCTATAGCAAGATGGAGGCCAGAGTCGGGAGCAAAAGCCGTGTCCCGTATTGCAGGCCGAGGTGGAGAGCTGCAGAGGAGCGCACGGAATAGATGGCAGCGGACGGGAGAGGGCCAGGGAGGCATCATCGGTATTGAGAGCGTTGTGGTCCGTGATGCCAGTGGTCACGTAGTCGAGACTCGATCTGAGATTCTGATGGACTTTAACTGTGCCGGTATGTTTCGGGCCTGGATTGATACCAAGGGAAACCCTCAGGTGAGTATATTTAGCGATGAGCGATAGGTCAATGGACAGAGGCGATGCAAAGTGGGCGTAGATAGAGTGGAACAGGGAATGTCATTTGTATTCGTTCTGTGCCCAACCCGCGGTAAATAAGAGCATAAAGCTCAGCAGTGGGGGGTTTTCTATCTCCCCATCTTCTTTTTGAACCTGCTGATCCCATGCGCACTTCCAGAACTCCCCTCCGTCTCATGAGGAAATCGTACATGCTGCGCTCTCTTTCTCTCTTTTTTTCCCCCTCGTTCAGACATGTATTAATCTGTGGTTGCAAGAAGTATGGCAACTCCATCGCTAAGCCAGAATCCGCCTTCCAATAAACCCTCCCAATATCTTACTCTATTATACATGGAACGCCGGCCCGATGCGAATTGAAGGGATTAAAACGTCAGCCAGTTTTTTGTTGGTGGTGGTAGTGAAAATACAAGAGGCCCAGCTCTTGGAGAGCTTGGCCCGCATAATTGTTGTGGATGGTCGTGATGGTGGAGTTGAGAGTGGGGAGTCGACGATTGTTTCGTTGTATCACTATTGATCGATTCGTGATTGTTCATTTCGTCAAAACTTGGCTCACAGAGTAGCCTCCTGAGGGGGAGGCTGAGGAGCTTCTAGCTTGGTGCTGCCGGCAAGCATCTTGGAGAAACCGATACCGACACCCTCGATGACGGCGAGAAGGACGGCACAACCGATGGCACCGTTTCGTGCAGCCTTGTAACCACCTCGAATGGCGAGGGAACCACCAGTGAAGAAACCGGCAATGATGGCATTGTAAGGGTCCTCCTTCTGGCGCACACCCTTGACGGTGCAGTCGAATGTCGAGAAAAGGCCACCCCAAACACCAAAGTTACCACCTAGAACTGGAGCACGCATCTTGATGGCTGTAATGGCGCCGATACGTCGCTCGCCGTAGGGAGAGTTGCGGAAGCCCTTGATACCGTGCCAGATAGTACCACCGATGGCCTAATAATGAGGACAGTGTCAGTTGCATGTCTCGTCGTATTATATCGTACTTCTGTCGTTGTGTCCGATTCCAGCTATAACACCAAGGGCTCAACTTACACCCATGCAGAAAGCACCGCCAAAGTCATTGAGAATGACATAAGGGCAGGGGTCGCGTCCGTGATCCATGTTTGATTATGTGTATTAGAGATATAACCACGGTGGGGGGAGGGCGATATGAGGCTTGTGAAGGCGATGAAAAATGCGAGGCCGTTGCAAAAGGTTGCCGGACCTTGAATCGCAGCGAGTGATTTTTTCGGGATCGGCCTAGGATTATCCGATAGAAATCGATAACAGTTTAGGCCAAACCAACCTCGGCTGACTCGAAGCTTCCATTTATATTTCCTAATGTGCGCCAAACGTTGATTACTCGCAATGCTTCAGAAGTCTATGCAGTTTATGAGTAAATATACTCTGAGAGTTCCCGAGTGTCTCTGGTTATATCGAGGCCAATTCTTTTATTTTTGCAGATTTGAAGATGCTCAACGTCATACTTCGCCAGGGCTGGTTCGGTCGGTCTGTCCCACTAAACCCCATATCTAGTCCCGGCCGAGAACGGAGCTTAACCTTGAAACTGACGGGATTGTAAGTGATATACTGAAACTCGACTGCGGAACGTCAAATCGCCTTTGTAGTACGTTGAAATTTGAATGTGTTTTCACGGACACAATCACTACAAGCACTCAAGCCTCTTTAAGTATATTACGACAATCCAAGGGCAGGTGTATAAAATTACAACCACTAAAAGTTTCCGAACGAATAGACGTCGATTACCCTATAAACTTATAGAACAGCGCCTGAGAAATACCAAAACTCACGATCCTATCTTTGAGCTTTTGCCTACATGCGGTCTACCATGAAATCGTGATTTAATGTGACATATGCATAGTCGGAGTAGTATTCTTCAGCTGGATTATTCGTCTAGGCAACTTACAGACTGTCCCAAAACTGCCTATCTAAAGGGCATACCAAGTTCCTCTTCTTGATCTGAACCGACCAGGTACTTGAAATGAATACTTCAAGATACAAAGACCAAGCTCAAAAGCTACCATATTAGTAAACACTGACTAGAACGACACCTTGTGCACGGGGTGAACTCTGGAAGCTTATGGAGATGTAAGCAAGGACCATTGGAGCTTGACTGTGATCGCAGCCGGATCGTGAACAGAACTACGTTTCCTTGATGTCAACCAAAAACACCGACCTCCATCCACTACCTCCTGAATTGACCACTCTGAGGCTCAATCACACTGCCGTCCTCTAGCTCGCGGGGTTTGAGTCGTGTAGTGGTGACAATATAGTGACGGTGACAAGATCGGCCAAGCACTAGGCAAGAGGAAAAATGCTATTATTCACCATGCGACATCTCGATCAGAAGACATCGCGATTGAGGGGGCTCTTGCTCACAATATGAGATGGATATTGCAGCCCCTATCGTACGATAGGTCAGAAGAACGAAGGGACAGCCTCGCCGGCAGCTTGGCTAACTGGTAGATCGTTGATTGGAAATAAGCAAGTGGTTGGCTGAGAGGACACAATCGACAGTAGGGTTATATCAGTTCATCCATCCATGCCACGCTTCTAGCAACGGTGTTCGTGTCTAATTACCCAATTACTAGCAAGAATGATTGGACAAAGGTTGGGGCTGATGGTCCAGAATATCGAGTCCACGGATGCGATTGGATGCCGATTTGGTGGGAACTAGAAACTAACAAGACTGACGGGATTTGTTAGTTTGAAGTGAAGTGACATGGTCAGTGGAGTTGCGAAGAAGGATGGCCGAGAGAAAGGAAAGGAAAGGAACAACCCGAGAGTCCCGATGTGTGAACATACTTGGTTGATGAAACGACAAGTTTTGACCTTGATCAAGTTTTGAGTTGATGTCTACAAACATTCATGGTATGTCCCTGCAGCATGTCTTGTCTAGTTTAGAGATCATCGTCATAGTCATTCAAGTCGGAAGAAGTGTGTGCACAGTCCAGCCGTGACCCCCACAACAGCTTCAGCATGGTCTGTTCATCACTTTAAGGCTCATGGTTACGATGGGCTGAGTTGAGTGATGAATTGAATGCCTCTCAACAACACCATGAGACCTTGTCGCTTGTATCGCAACCTGCATATGAAACGGGCGGAGGCTGCGGAGTGCCGAAGATTGCCATAGACAGTAGAGTGGTATCAGACAATTGCCGTGAAATCCGAATAAACTTTTACGAATTACGCAAGGTTTACTTCGCCTGGGGCCTGGAAGCTTCCGTGAATAGCTTCACTGAACTGAAACTGCTGTGCGTCCCTGGCTGTATGTATGTACACAGACTGTTGCTGTACACGGGTGCATCTGTAGTGTAATGTCTTTCATCATTCTGCCGATATCTTAACCTTCAACTCTGATGACGAAGAAGCTATTTCTTCTGCATGAATGATGATGAATGTCTTCTCCCGCGCGCTTCCGCGTCTTGAAACAAGCTACCCGCTACCACTGACGTATTAGGCGTTGGGACAGGATCTACGATAAGCGCAATTCTCAGACATGACATATTCGTTCAGCTGGTAGACGCATTATCTTCAATTACATGTAAGGCACGTATAAATGAAAATTAGGGGACGTGAAACATCAACGCCACTGGAACAAGGTATACACAAAAACGTTGACTTTGAACCGTTGATTCGTTGGACCGGTTTTTGCCACAAACACACCCACAGAGTTGTGAAGTCATTCATTCCTGGCCCGTGGTCTTTTTGTCCTCTTTTTCGCCTCCCCCTGGGCCTGTCCTCTTATTTATTTTCATGTTTGCAAACAAAAAAGGCTCCGTCTCATTGGACTGATAGTAAAGAACCAACGGTCAAAGGGCATTGAAGGGGCAAATTGCACAGCATCATCCCAGAGTCAAAGTCACAACCAGATTTAGGCAATCGTGAACCAAAGATCGTCATCATCATATGAGCAAGAAGAGAGACAGACCCTAGAACTCCGCGGCCGCCGTAATACCAGCAAGGGCTGGGCTTAGATTTTATTCAGCGAATTTGCATGGATTATGGCAACCCTGGGTTTGTTTCAATTTGGGGGGGGGGGGCCCTTCTGGAAGACTCAGCCTCATCGCTTACCATCAACATGACTGCCAAGTCTACCCAACACGAGGTGACTCATTTCCGATACCATGATTCTGTCATCAGCGAAAAAAGAAGAGAAGAGAAGAGAACAAGTATTGCGGCTGTACGGATAAAACCTACACACCAAGGACCGTTGGCCGTTAGCATAAGCCCAGCCAGCCAAAATTCCCGTTCGCTTAGTATTTCACACAGTGAGTCAAAGCGCTGCTCAGCTTAAACTCAAGCAATAATGAACCATAATGTGAATTTCTCCAGCTTGTAGTAGGGACCCATGCTTCGGTGAGGCCGCTTTCTCGCGAGTTTTGACACTTCCCCATCTCCCATATAATCTTGCACAAAGCAAAGGTGAAAAATATTGTGGAAATATGTAAATCGAGGCTGAGACTCCAGTGCTATTAACAAAGGCTTGGCACATCGACATGGATCCATACATGACTACAATACTAAAAATGCTGGGTCCAGCTTGAAAGTGGATGCTGCCTGAAGTATCAAATTTTGAAAGGCCAGCTATGTGTCTAAAACAAACACCATGATAATTGTGAACTGCAGAATATAGAGACGGCAAAGTGTTATGTAGTATTTCAGCCTCATTCAAGAGGCTTCTATGTAGAGTAAGAGTAATGCCGCCCACGTAGAGGGTGAGAGAGTAATAGTAGTAGTAGAAAATGTGTGTCTGTATCTGTGTCCACCACAGTAGATGGATGGAAAGCCGTAAAACCCATAATCGCATACCTCCAAATCCCATAAACAATCAGATAAAAAAATCGCTTTTTTCGCTTTCCCAAGTAATCCCGTGGCCCATAATGATAAAACTCCAGGCCTCCTGATATGTATACAGAGTGGAAAAAAGGAAAAAAGACAAGCCCAATTTATGGGTTGTGAGACAAGGATGTAGAACAACC